AGCACGACAGGTGAACACCAAGGGCTAGAAGAGGGCTCTATCACGTCATTTTTCCTCATATCGTCAATCATTTCTTCAACCTCTTTCTCACGAGCGAATGGTATGCGTCTGGGCCTTTGACGAATTGGCATTGTATCACCTGTGTTTATTTTATGCTTCACCAAACCAGTTCGGCCAATATCACCATCGCTTCTTGAAAACACATCAGAGAATCGAAGAAGTAAATTTCTAGCTTTCATAGTCTCCACTTTTGTCAGACTTTTGTTTTCGTCTAAGATTTTCGTTACAAAGTCAATTCCCGTACTGTCCTTCTTCACAAGATTCTCCGAGCATTTTCTTATCCAGGCCACTTCTTCCAATACGCCCACAGGCTCTCCTTCTTCAATCGTAATTTTTGAATCACTGAAGTTGAATACCGGAATGCGGTTGACATCAGATGGCCCCACGACAGTTCTTGCCGGTAGCCATGAGCTTACGTGTTCCGATTTATCAATCACAGCGCACCTTCGAGGTAAACTTCCTTCCTTCCTCCTAGGTAATGCGATTGGTACGAGAGTCTGTGATTTTGGTGCAAGAACAGTTCTTCTTAAACAGCAAACTTTTCCCAGGGTTCCACCCTTCATCGGAATTTCCTCAGTTCCACATAGTAAAACTCCAGATTTTAGGTCGATGTTACACTGGTGCCCTTGCAGGAAGTCAAGTCCCAGGATGCAGTCATCCAGAATTTTGGCCACAATAACCTCATGTCGATAAACACGTTCCCCAATTTTGATTGTTACATGCAGTTTTCCACTTATCGGTATGCACTGGCCGGTAGCTGATTTCATTTGTAGGCCAACAATTGGTTTAAGGTGTTTCCTGATGTTTTGCCCGAGCAGCCGAACATTCATCACCGTCCTTGAAGCTCCAGTATCTAACGTTAGCTGACTGTTTTTCCCGTTTACTTGACCGTCTATTACCAGAGTATTTCCATCGTTAGTTTGCTTGATGTAGATTGTTGGGGTTATTCCACTACCGGCCAGCGCCCACCCCGCAGCCCTGGCTGGATTTAGTTTTCCTGCTGGTCAGAAGTTGAGACCGCCGCGTCCTGGCGGTTCACCTTCTTCGGGCAGTCGCTCCGTATGTGCCCACGCTCTCCACATCCATAGCACATGAAGTTCCGACGGCGTGGAGGTACCTGCTCCGTTGTCGTCATTTCCCGCAGACGTAAGGTACGGGAGTTACCACGCACGGCTTCCACTTCCAATGCATGGGCCAGAGCTTCTTTCATGTTCTTGTGATGGCCCAGATGAACAGCGGCTCGTACTTCGGGGTCCCGAATACCGTCAATGAACGCTTGGAGAAGCGTGCCTTCAATCATTGACGGAGTCGACCGGAAAGCTCGACGCACAAGTTTCTCGATTTCCACGGACCATTGCTGTAGGCCCTCATTAGCACACTGAGTACGCTCTTTTAATTGCGCTCTGTACACGTGCTCGAGGTGGCTGTCTCCAAAACGTGCCTCAAGTGCGTCGAGGAGGGCACTAAAGCTGAGATCCCCACTTGCGCCGATAGCTTCCAGCACTGAGAGCGCTTGATCACGGAGGGCCAGGATAAGGGCTGACTGTGCGTCCTTCTGAGTCCAACCATAAGCCTCCATAAGTGTCTCAAACTGTAGCTTGAACGCGGTCCAGGATGTTGTTCCGTCGTAATGGGGAATCTTAAGCCCTTTCGTTGCACTTGAAGCCGCATTCGGGGCTTCAAAAACGGCTGCAAGACGGCTTCGGCTCTTCAAAGGGCTTGGGCTTGTCACTTCCTGCTTGATTTTGGAGATCTCTTCTTCCACTCTCTCCTCTATCGCCTTGACGCGATGTTCCAACTTGCCTAACCCTTCCTCCACTTCTTGTACCCGTTCGACAGCCTTTTGCAGTCCCTTCGTGAAATCCTTATGCATGTCTTCCAAGCGACGCGCTTGCTCCTCTTGGCGGCGAGCTTGATCCTCTTTCAGCTCCCGTAGCTGCTCCGCCTGACAGCGTGCATGCTCCTCTTGGCGACGAGCTTGATCTTCTTTCAGCTCCCGTAGCTGTTCTTCTTGGCGGCGCGCTTGCTCTACCATCATTTGCTGCAGCTGTAGCAGTAGATCCACCTGCACAGGCTTGGCTTCTGCATCGCTGGTTTGAGCTGCAGCACTCTCTTCCCTCACACGCTGCGCTTCTGCCATTGCACGGGTACTCACTCCTCTTACGTCCTGCGGCACTAGCGGCATTTTTCTCCAATCCCACTTCTGACACCAAATGTTACGTGCCTGACGTCACGTTCCTGACTATGCGGGCTTGGGTTACGGGATTGGATGAAATGAAACACTAATACCAGATTTCAGACTTTCTATTGCCCTTAAGTTACAGCGTCCACGGAGTTAAGTTATCGGCGTTCCTCTCCAGCAGAGTCCGGCCGACTGACACAACTTTGCCGTTCACGCTGACTTAACTCACTTAACTGACTGCACTTCACTATTTCACTGCACTTCACTATTTCACTCACTTTTCTTCTTTTTCACTTCTTCCACACAAATAATTCCAGAAAGTTCCACAAAACTTCTATCAACTAAAAAACTACATGTTTACGGCGGGACTCGAACTCGGGGTCTCTGTGGTGTAATCCACACGCCTTACCGATTACACCAACTCGTGTTGACAATTCACGACGAAATTTACAATCTCTAGGCAACGTTTGACAACCATCCATTGACGTCATGATGTCAAAGAGTTTGAACCACTTTTCCGTCACAGTATGTAGGTAGGTACTTCTTGATCGATTGTCGAAAAGTAGGTAGGTAAGTCGGGTGACACGGTGACATATTTTTTTTTAACGGCGACTTCAAAAAAAATTTTTTTTTTCAGATTCTTAGATTAGATTTTAGTCGTTGTTTTGTGTCCTTCAGATTTGCGTATTTATGAAATACTTATTTTTATTTACACATCACCCTTAGATCATCATTATCATCATCAGTCTATAAGTGTTTATAACCAAGCAAAGGCCTCTTTTCATACGGAGAAAGATTGAGCATTCTGTGTTCCTCGAAGGGTGTCTTCAAGGCCCGAGTGAATAAGTTGCTTATGGGTAGCCGTACTCCATCGTAGGTCGCATCATGGCTTACCACCAGGCATGAAAGCGATCAAACCCCAGTCTATTAAGTACTAAATAAATAAAATCACCATGCTTACTCAAAGTGGATTGGCGATTTCAAACTTAGGTAATTAGAAATTTATAAGTTCAGGTTTTCTCTTGTTTTTTCTATTTTTTACATATTTACCTAATATTATAAATAGGTAAACGTGTTTCATCATCATCATTATCAGCCTATAAGTGCCCACTGCTGAGCAAAGGCCTCTTCTCATACGGAGAAGGAACAACACGCTAGCTCAATGCGGGTTGGCGATTTCAAACTTTGGTAATTAGAAATTATAAGTCCAGGTTTCCTCACGATGTTTACCTTCACCGTATGTCAGTGGTGTCTAAATGATCATAGAAAGTACATATAACTCGGAAAAAGTCACATTGGTACTTGCCAGTTGCCAGGTTTCGAACCCACACCCTCATGCTTGAGAAGCGGGCGCCGTAACCTCGGGGCCACCACGACAGTATAAATGATCATAGAAAGTACACATAACTCGGAAAAAGTCACATTGGTACTTGCCAGGTTTGGTACTCATGCATGAAAAGCGGGCTCCTTAACCTCCGGGCCATCACGACTTACGTAAATGGGTTTTTTTATCTTTAATTACCGTGGCAGTGGTCTCTTTTAAAATATGATTTTTATATCTAGAAATAGGTAGAAAGCATTTTTTGAAGGTGGTATCCCGTGGCCTCACAGAGAACCGCCGTGAAACAACCACAGCGTTGTGTTTCGCCGTGTGAGTGAGGAATCCGGAGGCCCAATCCCTACCCACACGCAAAATCTCTAAATCCCTAATTCCCAAAAGGTCGACAAGGCACTCATAACTCCTTTTTTGTCCATGGGAGACGCCGATTGCTTTCCATCAGGTAATCCATCTGCTCGTTTGCCGAAATATGACATAAAGCATCAGACTCTTACTGACTAAAAACCACCCCGTGTCTTCTCCTACTCCATTCCGGGCCCTCGGTACCTTATAACGCATCCACTAGAAACGCCACGAGCAAGGATAGCTCGCCGCCCGACCAGACAAAACCAGACCCGAGCGTACGGAGCGTAGCGTTCCGCGCGCGCCATAAAGAGCCAATAGACCACCACAGACGGGGCCCTATAGGGCTGATGTTCAGCCGGGGTTGCGGAGTAAGCGCAATGAGGCACCGCGACCTCGGCACAGAGCAGGAGAAGGAACAGGGGGGTTTTCAGTCAGTAAGAGACTGACACTCCTCAAATACAGAAGTAGAAACCTTCGTGGCACCATCCATTAATAAAATTAACAATATTTTGGGAAGTTTCATGACGATGCTTATGCTTAAGACAATGTAATAAGATTCATTTTCGTATATCAACTGTCTTATTGATTGTCTTTTTGTTACCAAGTGGGTATAGACAAACGAATTGTCAACATTATTATAAAGCGATAGAGTAGATAATCTAATGGAAATACAAATAAGTGTACATTGAAGCTTAATTTTTTTATTACTTACGTCTGATTAAGAAAAACTATCTTCCTTATGAAATAATCCAACGCATCGTTGTGGTTGTTTCACGTCGGTTTTTTGGGAGGCCGTGGTGTCACTCCGGTCGAACCGACCCATTCGTTTTTTTATAGGATAGGTTGGCAAGCGAGCATACGGTTTACCTGATGATAAGAAATCGGCGCCGCCCATGGATACCAATACCAAAGGAGTTACAAGTGCATTGCCGGCCTTTTGGGGATAAGGGTTTTGAAATATTTAAGGATTGGGAAGGGATGATGAGAGGAGGAGAAATTGGGCCTCCGGCAACCTCACTCACACGGCGAAAGTACGCTGTAGTTGTTTCACACCGATTTTTGTGAGGCCGTGTATTACTCCGGTCGAGCCGACCCATTCGTGCCGAAACAGTCTCTTCCACACTTACACAATATTTGGTTTGTGGCAACGCGCATATAAGGTTGACGATAAAAATGAACTGACGTCTCTATCAATGGAGGAACCTCAAGCTCAGATGGGAAAGGTACAGCACTCGCCTCGTCTTCAGACAAGTCAGCTCCAGCAGTTGCCTCGTCTTCCCCGTCCTCCAAATCCCGCTGCAAATCAGCAAGATCAGGATAGTACGCAATATCATCTTCATCACCCATATCTTCGTCATCTTCCGATATATATCCATTTTCTAGGGCCGCTAGATAGTCTTCTATACATCTATCACTCAATCTTCTTCGATTCATGCTGAAAAAATGCAACAAAACACAACATGCAACCATAACCGAACATGCAAAATCATACTAATAACCATTCCCGGACAATACTCAAACTCATGGCGTTGCCAAACGGCAACATACAGTTTTTCCATAAAAAATAAAAATATAACTAAAATTGATCGAAAATTATAAATTATTTTTATAATAACTATCGTGAGACATACTAAATTAACTAAAATTCGCAGGTTACTCACGTGTACATGTTGAGAAAAGCTCTACTAGTTTCGAACCACAGAGGGGTTCTTCCTCATGAGCAGCGTGCGCGGACGCGGCGACGTCGCGCAGCCTACAGAGTAATTTTAGTTAATTATAAATTATATTCAAAACTTACCTTTATAATTATCCACTTTCAATTTTTGTTTCCAAAAAATACGACTTGTTTCTCCAAAACAACAAAAAGATACGGCACAAAATTCGAAAACACCAAGTCATTCGCCTACTAACATTCAAACGGAAACTTTTTGAAAAAAAGCGCAATAGTCGCTGTCACTGTCATTACCCGACATTGACAATATATTTTTTCGTCCAAAATCAACAAAAGTTTCCAAACTTGTTCACTAGTCCACAGACAATCACGAAAAATTTGGTTCGTAGACTTTTGGCAACCAGATGCATTTAAGGGTTAACGCGCAAGTAAAATTTGCTCGCCGATTAACTATGCATAGGAATTCTCAACGTACAATTATCGGCCCAAGATCACGTGCTGCTAACAGCTTGCTGCTTGCCTGTCCAACAAACCACAGTATAAGACATCACACCTGGATCCTACTTCTCCAAACCCTCGTCTTCAATTGCAAGCTTGAAGATGATGATGAAGATTCGCCAATCCTCCTTGGTGATTAAAGCTCAAACCTTCTCCGTGTGAGAGGCCTTTGCTCAGCAGTGGGCATGTAGCGACATCTATCGCACAACACGCAGTAACAGCTCCAATAACGTTGGATCACCAGTTTAAGGAACAGAAAGTAAAGTTCCCTTATATCGGAAAAGGAGGACCCTCCGACCAGGCCGTTGTCGAGGTTTTGTAGCTGTTCTAATAGCGCCGAGAACTGTTTTACCGCGATATAGAAATATAGTGCTGTTGCTGCGTGTTGTGCGGTAGATGTCGCTACAAGCCCATGGCTGAGCTAAGGTTTTTTCTCACACGGAGAAAAAATATACTTACAATAAACATAATCTACTTATTTTGTTATTTCCAGCGCAAATTGAACGAAAATGCAAGCCACAGTTAAGAAGACAACTGACTCTCACAAAAAGACAGAGAGAAAGACAAAAGACGAGTCTCCAAAAACATCACAAGATGACAAAGCAAAATATGGTGCAGCCACTCCAAGGAGTTTCGTACAAAAATCGTCCACAGCAGACATCTACGGACAAAAGAAAAGAGTACCCTCAGCTTCTGTGAGAGCGCCAAAAAAGTCTCTCACAACTTCCTACACACCAAACAATGCTTCACCAATGGCAAATCTTTTAAAATCAACGTCATCAACCAATCAGATCAACTCAGAAAAAGCTAAGAAAACATCCAAAACAGTCGACAAATCCTCAAGATTCACCTCGACGCCAAGAATAAGAGATTTTAACACCAATTCTCCAATAGCGAAACGTAAATTGAATATGGATATGAAAAAAGAAAAAAGTTTTACAAAAGATGTTAAAGATATAACTATAGCAAAGGAAAAGGTTAAGAATGAAAAGGTAAAGGTAGAGAAAGATGGAGAAAGACAGAGAACTAAAACTAGAACGTTAGATGAGAGTGAAGTTAAGATTTTGACTGGTATAGATAATAATGTGGAAATGATGAATCTGTCTAAGAAACTCAGTGCTAAACCGAAAGCTTTTTATGTTGATTTGGAAGATGAGAAACCTGCTCCGACTAAAAAAGTAAGTAGTATGGTAATGTCTGTTGATCAAATGCTCTGGATGGATATTATTTATAAAATTTTATCTGAAATAAAATTAAAGAAAGATTTTGAATTGAGTTTTTTTTATCAAATGGCTTTTAATAATAATTTACACGTTATTGAGTGCTTTGACTTTGCCTATTCCATCATCTATTCAGCAATCAATAACTATTTTTCTTAAAAAAATGGCAGATTACTTTCAATGCAAGTTTGTTTCATAAAAATACTATAAGTTTATAGTACTTATATGTTTATAGATACAATAATATACTATTGATATAATATATATTCTATGAGATCCTATGTGATCTGACTGATGTGATTTGACTGCACGATTGGCGCGGCGATTGCGCGCAACGTGTCGCGGGTTTGATTCCCGCACGGAACAACAGCTCTTTGTGTGATCCGCAGATTATTGATCCGGGTCTGGGTGTGATGAGCACGTGAAATTATGTGTTTGTAAACGCACCCAGGACACAGGAGAAAATCCTAGTGTGGGGCAACGTTTTAAAAATAAAAATAAAACTTACAAACTTATTTACCTGCCATGTCCATATCTGCATTAACTAAAACTCGACTGAGAGAAAATGCCTAAAGCATTAGGTCTTTTTGTACAAAATTTTCTAACAACATTTCAGCCTCCACCACCGAAAAAGATACCAAGCGACGAAGATATAAGCTACGAAGATGACTTCGAGAGCTACGAATCAGACTTTGATTCCTATCACAGTTCCTCGGGAGAACATCATGAGAGTGGAACTGATGAGAAGGAGCAGGACGATGATGATGATGATGCAGAGGAACCAGTGGAAACAAAGGAAGTTAAGGATGAAGAGAGTATGCTGGATTCTGGTGAGTTTAACAGTTTTGTAGTTTGTTTTTGTGATAGGAACAGCACCCGAGTGGAGGTAATCGGCGCCGGCCATGCATACTCGGAAAACCATAGGAGTTAATACTGTGTTGTTGGCTTTTTATGAGTGGATGAGGATTGGAGATGGGGGATGATTGATTGGAACACCGATAACGTGGCAAAATATAACTCAAGCGTGGTTTAACCCTTGCCGAGCCGGACCATACTTACTGAAACAAATTCTTCCAAGTTGACTTCAAAGTATTATTCTTTCAATGGCTCGTTTCCTATGCATGTCCTTAACAAAATTGAGTTCCTTAATGAGATGTGAACGTGTTAATTCGGTTCAAGTTCGAATGTTTCGTTCGACCTAGGTGTTATTGAAATTTTCAATATGGAATACTAGCGGTCGCCCGCGGCACGGCCCTCATAGGTGTCGATTGAAACCTTCTCTGGACTTCAAAGAATAATTCAAGACCAAAATTAGCCAAATCGGTAAAGGTCTTGATTTTTCCAGGCTGTTTTTCCAGAAGATGTCGTAAGATTTTTTCCTGCATCCATGTTCATTCATATAATTTGTCTAATAGACTACACATTTTAAAACTCTAACTTTTAATAGTCTTAAGACAAATTCTATCTTCATCAAAATGTGTTTTTACGCACATAGTTTCAACAACACCTAGAAAAATTTTTCTGATTATTTTTTCGAAAATTTTAGAAAAGTATAAGGGAAATAGCGATCATTTCGCCATTAGCGGGGTAGTTGGATAGGTCGCTAGTAATAAATAAATTATCATGTTCAACTACGTTTGCCGTGTCGAGATGGAAACTTATCGAGTTCTACGTCAAACAGTACCGTGTCAAAGCTGTTAAATATGACATAACAATTAATTTAATATGTCTCACGAATGTTATATAATATTAATGTTTAAGTTAATCACGTAAACGCAATTTATAAGTCACGAAATTATCAGGTAGGAACACGTTTTGATAAAGTTGAGCCTCCATATGCTGTTGTGTGAAACTAACCTTTTTTGTGGGGGGAAAATCATCCAATGTCTTAACCACCCTGCTTTTTTATTTAAACGTACTAAGCTACCTGATGGTAAGCAATGGGCCCCACCCATAGACATCCGCAACACTACAGGAGTTGCAAACGTGCATTGCCGGCATTTTGAGGTTATCCCCAAGGTTTTAGGCATTTCAGGACTGTAGGTACCTAGCGTCGGTGACGAACAGACTGAGAGACCACTTTTCTATTTTGTGAGTTTAGTTGGAATAAATGATTTTGACTTTGACTTTGTAGAGGTATAGGGGGAAATATTGGGCATTTGGTAACCTCAGTCAGTCACGCAGTGAAACAAAACGCTGTAGTTGTTTCACGCTGGTTTTCTGTAAGGCCTTGGTATCATACCGGTTGAGCCGTTCTACATCTGCGTGGTGCAAAAATGAGTGTCAGACTCTGACTGACTAAAAACCACCACGCTCCTTCTCCTGCTTCAGACGGAGGCCACGGTACATTATGCTAATTCAGCCTGGCTGAATAAGTGACAGGACAGCCATCTAGACTAGTCGCTGGTTTACGTTTACTAGTGATGATACAACTCAATGAACTTAATCGATTTGGGTTTAACTCGAGTTGAATTCACTGAACTCGGAATATGTCAGTGCATCATCGTAATGACAAGTCCAAGTTGACATGAGAACTCGAGCGTACGGCGCGTAGCGTTCCGCGCGCGTCTCAGAGAGCCAATAGACCACCACAGACGGGGCCCTATAGGGCTGATGTTCAGCCAGGGTTGCGGGGTAAGCGCAATGAGGCACCGTGATCTCGACCCAGAGCAGGAGAAGGAACGGTTTTAGTCAGTAAGAGTCTGACACTGTCTCCCGCCCTACGCTGGGCGGGAGAAGTAATATAATGATTTTCCCCTCACAAAAAAAATGTGGACATGCGAGGAATGAGGTACTTTCTGTTGAAAATTCAACTGTTTCAAAAAATACTGATTTTACCCAACATAAGTTGGGTTTGTCACCCCGGCTGATCTGGAACCCACCAACCAAGAATAATAATTATAGGAAACCCTAATGATGTTGATTTCATCATTAATCATCATCATCCTATAAGCAAAAAAGTCTCACGTGGAGAAGGTTTGAGCATACATCGCAACGATAGCTAAAGGCGGATTGGCGATTACAAACTTATAATTCGAAATTACAAGTCCAGGTTTCCTCACGATGTTTTCCTTCACCGTTTGTCAGTGGTGTCTAAATAATCATAGAAAGGACATAGGTACAACATGCAAAAGTCACATTGGGTCCAGTGATCCTACCCTCTGACTATGTCTGACTTGAATGCACGGTTGGCGCGGTGGCCGGGCGACTGGTGCCGCGCAACGTGTCGCGGGTTCGATTCCCGCACGGAACAACTCTTTGTGTGATCCACAGATTGTTGTTCCGGGTCTGGGTGTCATGTGTATGTAAAATTGTATGTTTGTGAACGCACCCACGTGCAGTGTGGGGCAACGTTTCTTTATAAAGAAAAAAAAACAGAAAAAAGGCTAGGCCACAACAAAGAATTAGATTTTTTTAAGTTATAGGACATCAAACGAACTTACCTATTACCTGATGGTAAGCAATCATCGCCGCCCGCAACAACTGAAGAGTTACGAGTAGGTTGCCGACCTTATTAGGATGAGTGATTTGGAGATATTGCTAAAGGGAAAGGATTGCGTCTCCGGTAACGTCACTCACACGGCGAAACACAACGCTGTTTCACGCCGATTTTCTGTGACGCCGTGGTCTGATCGAGCCGACTCATTTGTGCCGAAGCATGGCTCTCCCATACTTTTGATTTATATTTAATGTATTATTCACAGGTAATTTTGACCTTCGTGATCGTTCAGCTAACAAACTGAAGCCAGTAGTGTTAGACTTCATCCTGGAGACAGCCGAAGGTGGGGAGAAACCCAGTTCCTTGACTGATGAGGGGTTTCAAGAAATGAGCAGTTCCAGTGCCGTCTCCAGCATCAGGACTGTTCATACTGATGTTATTGAGAGGTTTGTTTTTTTATGTAATAGGTCGGCAAGCGAGCCGACCGGTTACCTGATGGTAAGCAATCAAAAATAAAGTAAGTAGTAGTTACGGATGCATTGTCGACTTTTTGGAGATTTTGGGATTGGGGAGGGATCGGGGGAGGGAAAGGATTGAGTCTCCGATAACCTCTAAGTTTTTGATCCTACCGCGACCTCTTCCTGGAGTAGAAGACGGAAAGCGGTGGTTTTTAGTCAGTAAGAGTCTGACACTCTCACCCTCGGCGAGAAGAGAGAACGCATTAGTTGATTTTCTGCTCTCAAAAAAGGCTGCCACAGACGAAGGCAGTTAAATGTATTAAAATAGTTTTTACTGCTTTCAGACCACTGTTCATCGATTTTACGAAATCAAAAGAAAATCGAAGGAAGAAACGCATCGGTGATTTATTAAGACAACGTGCGAAGGATCTGCTAAGCATTATAACACTGCATGAAATGTCATATAGTCTCTTCGAAATGAAACCAATTTCTTATGACCTCTACATGGCTACATTTGGTAGATCGAATTACACTCAAATAGCTATACAAACTTTTGAAGATGGAATTACAGAAGAAGTGCAGACAGATGAAATAGAATCAGCTCATAAATGGACGCAGCATCCAGTAGAATTCACAAAAAATGATATTTGCATCAAACAAAAAGTTTCAAGTCGAAAATTTAGCAAAAATACTGAAGATTATTTAACAAAATTCACGTTTTTAACAACAAATAATGTTAACGTTGAACAAAATAATGAGATTAACTTGGATGAGAATTACAAAATGGATCCTTTACGGATTTACTTCGAACAAAAAGATGGCGTCGGTCCCAGCGAAATGTTGCCCTACGAAACTTATAAATCGAAATTAAAAAACAACGATTATAACTCCCACAGATTAGGCAAGTTTTTAAAAAGATGCGAGAGTAGAATTAGTAATATTTTGAATGAGAATAATGGCAACACTGAACTGTCACAATTGAATATTTCGAACCTACCTTTCAGTAAAGGTTATGTGTCTGTTTCAACGAAGAATATTACAACTGAATCAATATCATTTTTGACTAAAACGAAAATATCAAAAATGCATTTTTCTGATACGAATTCGAACTTGCTGATGACTGTGCATAGAACGGATCAAAATGCTACTTTAAAAAAATGTACGATTTGCCTATGGGACATCAGTGTTGCCACTCGAGAGCCGCTAAAACTACTCACAGCTATAGACAACGTGTGTAAGGGAAGATTAAGAGGAAATTCTGATGGGTACTTTGTTGCTGCTCTGGATGATGGGTAAGTACTAAATAATAGTTACCTCATATCATTAAAACACGGCGGGTCTGAAGACAGGGATCCGCGTGCGCCTCAAAGAGCCAATAGATTACCACAGACGGGGCCCTACAGGGCCGATGTTCGGCCGGGGTTGCAAGGTAAGCGCAATGAGGCATCGCGAAATCGGCCTAGAACAGGAGAAGGACAGGGGGGTTTTTAGTCTGTAAGAGTCTGACACTCCCACCCGCCCTACCTTGGACGGGAGAAGTCACTTAATGATTTTCCTCCCACCAAAAAAAGGGTAGCTGGCAGAACCACACCGCACGGTGCGTAGCGTTCCAAGCTCGCTTCAAAAACTATCACAGATTGGGCTTAACGGGTCGATGTTCAACCGGGGTTGCGCGGCAAGCGCATTAAGGTACTATGGCCTCGGCACAGAGTAGGAGGTCAGTTTACAGTCAGTAAAAGTCTAAAACGCTCTCGCCTCACCCTGAGAGAGAAGTCATTATTATTGATTATCCTCACACGTTAAAACATTTATTTCCAAATCATACATCATACACGTATCAAACTAAACACTCTCTTATAAATAAAGATATCATCACGATGTTTTATTTCAGTTCAGTACATCTATGGGATTTGTCAGAAGATCCAACATGGCGGGACGATGTTGCCAGCGAAACGGAACCTACCAAATTGGTAGAAATTAATGAGAAAGGTCTAACTGAAGTGGAGAAAGATCGTGAATGGAATAACAGAAATAGGAACATCGGTTTGGATAAGGTTAGTAGCCTTTTGTTCTCTGAAGGGGTAAGCAGGGATGTATTAAATGTTTTGTCCATTTTTCATAAAATATCGCTATGTGGTCCATAATAGGAGGTATACCCCGAAAAACAGGTTACAAAATGAAATTCTTTGATTATTGTAAGTTTTAAGCGGCTTTAGCTCAATGTGGCTTCGAATCCAGCAACGAACAATGACAGTATATAGTAGTAGTTTCCATCTAGTCAATTTCAATACTTTTTCAGAAATGTCCAGAAGCTACCTTTTTCTATGAATTTTCTTTAATTGCTATGCCATGTTGTGACGTCATAGTTTTTTTACGTCAAATAGCATACTTATTTTGTCTTGTAATATTAAAATAATACGAATTTTAGTATGTATATTACGGAACTTTTTTTCTTTTTATCTTCTTTTATTTTAAGTATTTTTATGCTTTTCTAAGACTATTTTTTTTTTCATTTCATTTCTACGACTTAATTTCCAGCCTTGCATACAATGCGCGTTACAGTCGTGTGCCTACACGAACAGCGCGTTCAATATGAGCAATGGAGACGTAACAGATTATATTGTCGGCTTAGAAGTGACTGGTGACGTGCATTGCATAATAAGTCAGGAAGGTGGCCGCAGGATATTGGGTCAGGTATGCTCTTCTCAACTTTGTGTTTTAGGTTTATTTTCTTATTTTTTTAAGGTTTTTTTTAGATAGATTACCTGATGGTAAGCAATCAGCGCCGTCCATGGATACTCATTGTACCGAAGGAGTTGTACAAGTGCGTTGCCTGCTTTTGTAGGTTATTAGGTTATTAAGAATAGGGGTTTGGTTGAATGGGGAGAAAGAATTGGGCGGGAACCTAATTTCTGTGAGACCGTGGATCATTGACACTTAAGCTAGCATAGCTTGATGTTCTTCGTATTAAGGCCATCCATAAAGTACGTCACATAAATTTCATTACTTTTTTTAAGGCCCGTCCTTGTCACTGGTGGGCACAATTAAGAGCCCCCCTAGTCTGTCGTCACATGTTTTGCAATATCCATTTAAAAATAATTTAGTTGGATTAATACCGTCGTCTTGGCGTCTTAGGATTCCCAAAGATCTGATACTAGTCAGGAACAGCTTAATATCACCAATATCTCTAAGCCTCTTATGAAAATAACCAAATCCTCTTTAAAAAAGTTTTCTCTTACTAATAAATCTGTATGACATTACAGGTGGTCGCCCTACAAAGTATAGGCGTACTGACAATATGGTCAATAGTGCAACAAAAATCTAAAACGATACCACCTGATATTGGCAAAGCATTTTGGTCAAAAATGAAACTTGAAAAACTACAAACTATTAATCTAATGGAACACATAGACATTCCAATTAATGAACAAAATGACGAAACGAAACCCGACTTCAATCTACACGCAGCAAAACGAAGAATTTTAAACAGAAAACAAGAAAAAACTATTATTAAAAATGTCGTTTCCCGCCCAAAATCCGCCATGTCATTTGACTTTGACAGTGACAGACCGGCCAGTGCTGCCAGCGGGAAAATGAAAAGAGTGCTGTCAGTTGAAAAAAATGTATCGAAATATTGGGAATGTGGTGTTGTCTGTCGTGATTTGAAAGTTATGAAATGGAAGGATAGGGAATATTATTTGGTTGCTAAGAATTGTGGCGAAGTTCTGTGCTGCAGAAGAATTCTGGGGACCGTCAAAGTGAATACTTTTTGCATTGCAAGTAAGTAATGTTTTAATCATTCATGTTACTGGCAAATGTCACAGTTAGCCTAAAATAATAAATTGCTATCACTTAGCAAAGTATTTACCATGCTTTCTAGCCTATTTTGACCTTTTCTGAAAGCGTAAAATCATCTATTCACTTCCCCCGACCTGGCCTTAGCGACAGGGGTGTCAGGCTGTTACTGTCTAAAAACCAACCCGTTGTTTCTTCTGCTCCAACCCGGCCGCGGTGCATTGCGAGTGCACCCGCAACCCAGACTGGACATCGGACCTAGTGGGCCCCATCTGTAGTGGCCTGGTAGCCCTGTGAGACGCTCGCGGAAAAGCGACACGCTGTACGCTAGGGTTTGGTTATGGTTGTTGGTTGTATCCCTGACTTTCCTGAAGACATCTCCTCCTCTTGCGGATAGTAAAGAGAATAATTCAAAAGGAGAAGGTAGTTTCCACTCGCTCATCACCATGGCCTCGACTAAGGCCTGTCGCAAAAGGTCACCGCCGCCGATCGCTTCTCTGAGGATATGGCGGTGCTTCGCCCAAGAAGGACACAACACCACTGTATGCTCCGGATAGACTCGCAGAGCCCATTTCTACCCTGTATACTCCGCTTCCTACATAATTTTATAGCAAAGAAGCAACACATTTCTGCTAAAAAGCGCCTAGCAATTTCACTAAAATGTCACACGGTAATCAAATTGATTGCTATGTAAATTTAAACAGGCTAATATTCCCGAAGCAACACGCAAACATTACAAAAATTAGCACACAAATCACCTAGTATATCATAGAGCTAAACTACTCTTACCCTACCCAAGAAATTTTGGCTTCAGAAGCCATCAGAGGTTCTCCTTTCTCAAAAATTGACCAAAAAAGTTACAAAATTTACTTAAATTTTCTCTTTTTCTTGCAGATGACGCATCATCAGTGAATTGCATAGAGGTTTCTTTCCACGAACTGCCATATTTCTTAGCGGCCACCGATACTGGAACTATCAGTGTGTGTTCTCTAATAGAAAACAGAGTTCTTCTAACATTGGACTGCAGGTTAGTTGGCAATTCGTATATTTTATTATGTGTGCGCCCGTATTAGGAATTGTAGATGTGGAAAGAATATAATTGGTTATGTGATAAAAGAAACTTTAGAGGTGTCCAAGGACATGTGTGTGTTGACAAAGTGTGGGAGAGCCAAGCTTCGGCACGAATGGGTCGGCTCGACCGGAGTGATACGGCGGCCTCACGGAAAACCGGCGTGAACCAACCGTGGACCAATAACTCCCCGCCTCCCCTATCCCTTCCTAATTCTTAAATACCCACTACCGTTATCCCCAAACGGCCGGAAATGCACTTGTAACTCCTTCGGTGTAGCGGGTGTCCATGGGCGGTGCCGATTGCTTACCATCAGGTAATCCGTCTTCTCTTTTGCAGACATATTCCATTAATAATCCTCAAATATAGGAAGCCCTAAGTTCTAACCTGCCCCGGGCCGAGATTGCGGTATCTCATAGCGCTTGCCCCAAAAAACGCGTGTCCCTTCTATCTGGTACTAATAATCCAATTCGTTCTTAATATTTTCTTACAGGAATATCCAACCGAGAGAAATGGACATGGAGAAGTACCGCTCCGACCACAAAGGTCGATACATCAGCAGTAGCACCGTTACCAAGAGCTCAAGGGTAAGATCTGTCATTATTTCTGTAAATAAGAAACCTTTCATATATTTAAAACAATAATCTGTCACTATCTCGTAAATCATCCATTCACGGGACCACAGGACCTTTAATAGACTTACGAGAGTCCGAACTCTGAAGTCAACTTTCAAAGGCCCGTCGAACAATTTCAATTTAAAAATATCAATTGGCAATTATCCCTTTAAGTAGTATGGAAGTACAAAATGGGACCTTTGAGTGAGCTATACTTGTTTACAATAATATTATGTCATAGGTGGGCGATCAAACATCGGATTCCCTGATGGTAAGCTATCGGCACCGCCCATGGACACCCGGTGTACCAAAGGACTGGAGATTTAGAGATTGGGGAGGAGTAAAGAGGGGATAGTTAAAGGGGAAAGATTGGGCCTCCGGTAACCTCACTCACACGGCGAAACACAACACTTTCGCTATTTCGTGCCGGTTTCCTAAAAGGCCGTGGTATCGCTCCAGTCGAACCGACCCATTCGTGCCGAAGCATGGCTCTCCCACACTTCTCAATACAAAAGAGGTCTTTATCCAGCTTCAAGAAACGAGCGCACTCCTTCTTAAAAGGCCGGCAACGCACCTGTGACTCCCCTGGTGTTGCGGATGTCCATGGGCGATGCTGATTGCTTACCATCAGGTGATCCGTCTGCTCGTTTGCCTCCTATTCCATAAAAAAGCTGTAGGAAATGTTCAAGCTGTCAAATATTTCTGTACTAGGATCTTATGGTGCAGTTTGTCAATCACGGCGGTCGCGTCAATATGGCAATAGGATTTGGATTCGGAAGACCAAGAGTTGCAAATGTTGTGCCAAAATCTTATTGGCCTAAAGTAATCTTTGATCGTTTTTTTAATAGATAGATTTATCATAGTAGATTATTGTGTTCCAATAATGTACAAGGAAGGAATGATTAGAGTAAATTAGTCAAGCTACCTCTCCGGTTTGTGAGGACCACCTAGAGGATAACGGTAAAGCACACGGTGGCGGTGTTCCCTAGCGCCCGGCCTTAGTCAAGGCCATGGTGTGGAACGAGAGGAGTTGAGACGCCGTCTCCTTCTTCTGTGAAGCAAAGAGGGAGGCGGACCGCATGACGGAGCAATCCTCCTCCTCACGCCCCAGCCGCCGCAGCAGGCGACACTCCGGGCGTCGGGGATCGAGAGACGATCTCCGGCCACCGTATGCACGGGTCTGCGGACGGCGAGTAAGGGTAGCTCGCCAGAACCAGACCCGAGCTTACGGAGCGTAGCGTTCCGCCATTAGCCAATAGACCACCACAGACGGTGCCCTATAGGGCTGTTGTTGAGGCACCGCGACCTCGGCCTAAAGCAGGAGAAGGAACAGGGGGGTTTTTAGTCAGTTGGGGTTTTGTAAAAACTTACTGACCCACAAACGCCGAAGAAGGCATCCAATAACCTCACACGGCGAAACATATCGCTGTGGTTTCACGTCGATTTTCTTTCCCAGTCCAGTGGGGCCCATTCTCATGCATCGACGCTGTCTCAAATATGAGGTGCATTATGAAGTTTTATTTTTAATTTCCAGATATCAGTAACTTCTCTATCCTGGTCCCACATAAACCCTTGCTGTATATTCGCCTGCCTGCAAGATGAGAGTATGGTTCAATGGGAATTGTCACACAGCGATATACACGCCAAATGGGCGGGCGACGCCGTGGCCAGCGCTTGTATAGCGGCTGATAGTTCACTTGTAAGTAGAGTTAGCTTTGATTTTTTACAGCCAAATCAGTAATGACTTGATACTAGTAGAGCTTTTCTCAGTTAAATCGAAGTAGAAGAGCGAATCCGACCTAAAACTTAGTGTATCGATCGATCGATGAATAAAAGTATAGTTATTTTTCAATACATTGTTGTATTTAAACGTCGAATTAATTTATTTTTGACCTATGAAACTAACCAATTATTTTTGGAGCTGGATTCTCTTAAATATGCCAGCCTTTTTCCCGATTAAAAACTGTAACGTTATGATATATACACCTTTATTTTATTTGTGTATCGCCATTCTGTTTTACAGGCCCTCCTTACACCGGCGGGAGAGGTCAACGTCCACAGGCTGTCAAACGAAAATAGAACAAAAGAGTTTTTAATACTTTTCGAAAAATACCTCGCGTTGTTATAAATTATAATTAATAGATAATTATAATTTATTTTTATTTGTATTTGTATAAAATTAATTACATTGTATAAAAATCTCATAAAACTGACACTCGAACAGTTTCAAGCTATGCAAGGACTCATAATTAGGTCAAACGTATTGGGTTTGTAGCGCTCGTCCGTCATCGCAAGTTTTTTACGCGTATTATTGTTAATGTATGTTTTAACTTATTAATTTAATTATTAAATATAACTATTATCGTGATTAACTTATTAATTTAATTATTAAATATAACTCATTATAATACGTTAAAATATATAATTATAATGTAAATAATTTAACTGTTACTAAAGCGAGTTTCTCCAAGTTTATTTTATTTTGTCAGTCTTCTGAAAGTAGCCTTAGAAGAAGTACCGGCACTCTCAGATAATTTAAGAAATGACGGATATGATAGGACTGCAAACAAGGAGACGGATTACCTGATGGTAAGCAATCAGCGCCACCGCAATACTCGCAGCACCAAACGGTTTACAGGTTCGTTGCCTTCCGTTTGGGGATTAGGGTGTCGGAGATTTGAGATTTAGAGATTGGGCTGATAAGGGTGTCGGAGATTTAGGAATTGGAGAGGGATGGTGGGAGGATAAGGATTGAACCTCCGGCAACCTCACTCACACGGCGAAACACAACGCTATAGTTGTTTCACGCCGATTTGTTTGAAGGATTTAAAGGATTTGGAGATTGAAGATGGGGCGAGGAATTGGTCATCTGGCTCTGACAACTGATCTTTAGAATTGAATTCAAAAGTGGTGGTGGAATACCACGGTCTCATAGAAAACCGGCGTAAAATAACGCCTACGTTATGTTTACAACACATCTCTGTTAAATTTTGTAAGTAAATAAATAATTTAATTAGATTAATTTGTCTTTTTATTACCCTACTACTCTCACACGGTTTCACCCGCGGCTCCTCCATATTTTAGCGTGATGTTTTATAGCCTATAGCACTCAGGAACATTGCAGCTATCTATCAGTGAAAGAATTTTGGCAATCCGACCAGCGGTTCCAAAGATTACCCCCTACATACAAACTTACAAATTTTACCTCTTTATAATATTAGTATAGATATAGCCTTCTCGATAAATGGACCGTAATTCCGGAGAGAAGGACGTTCAAACAAATAAACTCTACAGCTTTATAATATTAGTATACAACAGGCAAGCTGTTCTCGAGGGTCATGGAAGTCATCGACCCTATGTGTGACAAATCGTCTCACACATAGGTTCGATGACTTCCAGCCTCCCGAACAAGCCGGTTTCCGGAAAGGCTATAGTACCATAGACCACATCCATACGCTGCGGCAAGTTATACAGAAGACCGAGGAGTATTACCTGCGTTTGTGGACTATGAGAAGGCCGAATTGATTCGATCGAAACTTGGGCAGAGATAAGATCTCTCCAGCGGTGCCATATTGACTTTCGGTACATCGAAGTTTTGAAGTGCTTGGGTCGCAGGAAGGCGCTGGATGCAGGCCGGTTCCAACCGGTCTATCTGGAAGTCAATAGGGGAGGCCTATATTCAGCAGTGGACGTCCTATGGCTAATATGATGATGATGATGATAAAATAGACGTGTTCTCCGGGGAAGAGAGATTTTAATTTGTTTCCCCTTAATTAATTTTTGTTATAGTGTGTCATTTTATGATTTCCGTCGAGATAATTTTATATGAATGATTCACTTAACTAATTCGTCAGACAAGAAATTAAAAATAATAATTAATAAAGATAAGGAGGACGTAAAAATGCCAAGTTTGCATTAGCATTCAAATTAGTTATCTAATATTTTTGATTCCGTTGTCCAATTTATCGGAAAATCTGGTTGGTACTTGACTAATGTGCAGGTCAAATTCCACTCACTTTTAAAATTGTCAATACGTTAGTTTCCAACTAGTCAAATTCAATACTTTTATCCAAATGTCATAAACGATACTTTTCTATGAAATTGGTATGAAAAACTGAGTTATGAGGTCATAGTTCTTTTGCGTCAAATAGTTTACTTTTTTTTTGTAATTTGCTAAAAAATATCTAACATTCAGTGCATCGATCGAGCGATGAAAAAAAGTATAGTTATTATTCAATATTTTATTGTATTGAAACGTCGAATTAATTTATTTTTGACCTATGAAACTAACCAATTGGGTGTGGTGGCGTCATATTACTTTCGCGTCAGAAAGTTACCTATTGTCAGAATTTTAATTCGATTCATACATTTCAAAATTATTCATTATTTATATATATTATTCATACATTTTAAAAATATTTTTAAAAATAAATTATCGGTTCAGAAATAAATTTAAAGTAAATTTATAAACGAGAGGAATCGATCCGAAAATATTCGATTTCCATATCGAATAATTTCGCAACGTCACTATCTAGTACTTGTCATAACGTTGCAACACTGAAATTGTCAAATCTGGAATGGAATTAAAATTCCGAGTATAGCGACCAGTCCCGGCTTCGTAGAGGACAATACTGATACTAAACTCCATATTTAATGGATGTCTTTATACCTACATATAAACCTTCCTCTTCAATCACTCCATCTATTAAAAAAACAGCAGCAAATACTGTTAGATCTTTAAAGATTTAAGCATACATAGGGATATAGCTCAGAATACAGAACAAACCAGAATCCGTGTTCACTCATAATTACATGTCGTCAAATGTGTCCAAAAACAATACGTCAATCCCCCCGCCAGCCGCACTTTCCACCCGCGTAGAGTTGCCGACAGTGGAACAATTCCCTTGGTTTGGGGTAATTTTACAACAAAATAGGTAAACTTACGATCGGCAGGCGGCCATACGCGCGACGGCTGGTGTCGCGCACGTCGTGAGTAGGATCCGGCGGCTGGGCTTAGAGGTGGCATTGCACAAATCGGAGGCCCTGTGTTTTCATGGGCCGAGGATGAGGCCGCCTCAAGGATCCAGCATTATAGTAGGAGGGGTTTCCATCGCTGTTGAGTCCACGATGAAGTACCTCGGACTCGTTCTCGACAGTCGGTGGAATTTCGGGCCGCACTTTACACGGCTCGCCCCCCGGTTGATGGGCGCCGCTGCTGCGCTGTCGCGCTTGCTTCCCAACCATGGGGGGGGCCCATCTCCTCCTGCCGGAGGCTCTACATGGGGGTCGTACGGTCGATGGCGTTATACGCTGCGCCAGTATGGGCGGACGCCCTGACGGCCCGCAACATCGCCGCGCTGCGAAGGCCACAGCGCGCGATGGCCGTCAGGATAATAAGGGGATACCGTACGATATCCTTTGAGGCAGCGAGCCTCCTAGCCGGATCCCCGCCCTGGGACCTCAACGCAAAACTCCTCGCGTCGCTCTATTGGTGGCGCGCGGAGGCAGTCGAGCGGGGCGAGCGCCTGGTGCCTCGACAGGTTGAGGCACGCAGGGCAGAACTCCGCCAGGCCTTAATGGCGGAGTGGCAGACGCGTTTAGCGCAACCCACGGCAGGGCACGCCGCTATAGAGGCGGTAAGGCCCGTTCTAGAGGAGTGGCTCAATAGGAGCCACGGCGCCCTCAGCTTCCGGCTGACGCAGGTGCTTACCGGACACGGGTGTTTCGGGAAGTACCTGTGTCGCATAGGTCGGGAGCCGACGTCTCAGTGCCACCATTGTGGTGATTGCCGCGACGATACGGCGCTGCATACGTTGGCGGAATGCCCAGCTTGGGCCGAGCAGCGCCGTGACCTGGTCGCGGCCGTAGGTGCTGCGGGAAATCTCTCGCTTCCGGCTGTAGTGTCTATTATGGTCGGGAGCGAGTCAGGGTGGAGTACCGTCGTTACCTTCTGCGAGGCCGTGATGCTCGCAAAGGAGGCGGCGGAAAGGGAGAGAGAGGCTGCCTCCTCTCTCCCCTCCCGCAGCAGACCCCCGCCAGCCGCACTTCCCACCCGCGTAGTGTTGCCGACAGTGAAACAATTCCCTTGGTTTGGGGTAATTTTACAACAGGAGGGTAAGATTCGAGTAAACCCAACAAAATAGGTAAACTTACGATAAATGCAACAGACTAGTTGTTCACACATTTAATAGAGGTATCATAAAAGTTGACGATTTCTGGATTTGTTAATTTTAGTTACACCTACTATACACAACAAATAAAATAAAGCTTCAATAAGTACAAAGGTTTTATTGCGTTCCCTTTTGCTGGTTTAGTTTTTTATATTGTATTGTCTTTAGACTCGGAACTAAAGATTAGAAGTCTACTTATTTTACTTAGTTCCTGAGAGTATTGTCATAAATATATCTCTTCAAAGTAAACTGAGCAAACTATGCTCTGGCTAGATGGTTTCAAAAATTAATCTAACCGTGCCCTTTGTATGATTTGTATTTATTTTTTTGTCAGGGAAACTAATATGACATAGGCTCCATAATGGACAAAAATATAACCCACAACAAATAAATAAGTGGGTAAAATTTTCACCAAAAATGACAACACTCACAAAATGGCCGCATCATTTTCATAGAAAAATAAATCGATAAAAAAAATTCAATTATTAATTAAATATACTATTGCAGTCGATGCTTGCAGATGAAATGTAATCTTATCCACTTTTTTCGTAATTCCAGTCGCATTTTTACTCATAATAATAACACAAGACGGCATAATGAAATTAAAATTGATACTAATTGTAAATACGTCACGACACATGCCACGTGCCAAAATTGACTAATCGTAGAAATTTCATACTATTCTAGTTGAGAATGGTTTTAGTTGCTTTAGTTTGAAGCGCGATGACGCCTTCTGGTTTGTTCTGTATTCTGAGGGATATAGGGACAGAGAAAGTGACTATGTTTTATACTATATACTTACCAGCTTTTGCCCGCGACTTTGTCCACGTGGGATAGTGTATTCCTGCAGATTTTTGGTTTAAAAACTATCCTAATGCCCTTTCTCGAAGTCAAAACTATGTCTGTACCAAAATTTCACATAAATAGGTTCAGTAGTTTAGGCGTGAAGAAAAGACAGACAGAGTTACTTTCGCATTTATAATATTAATTTGCATATACCTAAGTATAGGGATGATTAGCATAATGTTGTCCATCGAACAATAAATTATGTTCATTCTTTTGTTGCGTTGTGTTTCGCCGTGTGAGTGAAGTTCCCTCCCCCATTCCCTCCTCAATCCTAAATCTCCAAATCTCTAATCCCTAAAGGGTCGGCAGCGCACTTGTAACTCCTCCGTTGCGGGTGTCCTTGGGCGGCGCTGATTGCTTGCCATCGGGTGATCCGTCTGCTCGTTTGCCGACCTACAACATAAAAAAAAAAACACTTTTTTACGTAACAGAATAACAAACATCCATCCATACTTACAAAGTGGATAAGTATATTAATCAATTATAATACCTATCTTTATCTTAATTCTTAAATTAGTAAAGTCATGATTATCTATATTAAACACAACAAGTCATTAAATGGAATTTGTCATACTATTCCTTTTTTGAGACTTTAAAAATATCATAGGCCCAATCCTTCCCCACCCCCAATCCCTAAATCTCCAAATCCCTAAACCCTAAAAGGTCGGCAACGCACTCGTAACTCCTCCGTTGCGGGTGTCCATGGGCGGCGCTGATTACTTACTACTTACCATCAGGTAATCCGTCTGCTCGTTTGCCGACCTACTACATAAAAAAAAAAAACATCAAATGACTTCTCCTGTCCAGGGCATGGCGAGATGAAGTATCAGACTCTTACTGAATAAATCCATCACGTTTCCAGGGTTGCGGGGTAAGCGCAATGAGGCACCGCGACCTCGGCCCAGAGCAGGAAAAGGAACAGGGGGGTTTTTAGTCAGTAAGAGTCTGACACTCCCTCCCACCCGGTCCTGGGCGGGAGAAGTCATTTGATGATTATGCCGTGACAAAAAAATATATATACTTCGCCATGATTCTTGTTCTAAAGTTCCCTAATTTTAACTAATTACCTCAATTAACCGATCACATCAATTGCAGGTTATACATTGTTCAAGATACCTCAGATCGCGGCGATTTGGTGAAGGCTGAACGCCGTTCGGCCTCATTACAGTCGGACACTCACTACCGCCATCTTTTTTTTTTTTTTTTTTTGTGAGGGGAAAATCATCAAATGACTTCTCCCGCCCAGGGCCGGGCAGGAGGGAGTGTCAGACTCTTACTGACTAAAAACCCCCCTGTTCCTTCTCCTGCTCTGTGCCGAGGTCGCGGTACCTCATGGCGCTTACCCCGCAACCCCGGCTGAACATCAGCCCTATAGGGCCCCGTCTGTGGTGGTCGAATGGCTCTTTGAGGCGCGCGCGGAACGCTACGCGCCGTACGCTCGGGCCTGGTTCTGGTCGGGCGGCGAGCTGCCCTTACTCGCCGACCGCAGGCCCGTACTTACGGTGGCCGGAGATCGTTCCTCGATCGCCGACGCCCGTAGTGTCGCCAGTTGCGGCTGCTGGGGCGTGAGGAGGAGGATTGCTCCCTCACGCGGGCCGCCTCTCTCTTTGCGAGCATGACTGCTTCACAAAAGGAGGAGACGGCGTCCCAGTTCCTCTCACTCCGCACCATGGCCTCGACTAAGGCCGGGCGCGAGAGGTCGCCGCCGTCGATCACTTCCCTGAAGATACGGCGGTGCTCAGCCCAGGCAGGGCATACCGCTACCGTATGCTCCACCGTATCCTCTAGGTGGTCCTCACAATGACGACACTCGGGACTACCGCCATCTGCCGTCACAAAAGAAAACGTTTTTTTTTCCCTGACGAGTACCTACGTAGCCTATCTATTGGTTTGATTTGGATAGGAACCATGATTATTTGGAAAAGGTTTCTCATAGAACGCTTCTAGTCTGTCAAACGTGGTTTTTTTTATGGAATAGGTGGCAAACGAGCTGACGGATCACCTGATGGTAAGCGATCGGCGCCGCCCATGGACATCCGCAACACCAGAGGAGTCACAGGTGCGTTGCCGGCCTTTTAAGAAGGAATATGCTCGTTTCTTGAAGGTTTGAAGGTCGTATCGGTTCGGGAATACCGCCGCCGGAAGATCATTCCAAAGTTTTGCTGTGCGGGGCAGAAAGTTTCGGGTGAATCGCACAGTTGTTGACTGCCAACCATCTATGTGATGGGGATGAAAAACTTTTCGCGTGGAACGATGGCGAAAAGATGCGGCGGGGATCAAACCAAACAATTCCTCAGAACAGTCCCTTAGTGGCCCTTAGTCATATCTATAGACTTCCGTGGGACGATATATTTTTGTTACCGAATGAATGTTGATAATAAAAGTTTATGACATAAACAATGACTTTGACAATAAAATACAAATATGAGTCAGTGCTAAATAAGATTTTCTTATCTATCTGCACATACGTAGGTAATCCTTTGAATGAAATATAAAAATTATGATAGATTTATCTATACTAGCTACTCTCGCGCGGTTTCGTCCGGTGCTCGGCTTCATTTAATTGTAGCGTGATGTTTTATAGCCTATAGCACTCAGGAACATTGTAGCTATCTATCAGTGAAAGAATTTGGCAATCCGACCAGCGGTTCCAAAGATTAGCCCCTACATACAAACTTACAAATTTTACCTCTTTATAATATGAGTAGTATAGATATTATAATAAATTTATACTTAGTTTGTTTGTTGGGTTTTGTTTAAAGAACCATCAAGAAAGCTACCTGATGGTAAGCATTCAGCGCCACCCATGGACACTTGTGATACTAAAGAAGTTACTTTAACTGCGTTTCCGGCCTCTTATGGGTTAGAAGTGCTTTAAGGATAGGGAATTTGAGGATTGAGGATGAGGGGAAGGATTGGGCCTCCAGTAACCTCACTCACACGACGAAACACAAGATATGTACCTAATTGTCGCTTCACGCCGGTTTTCTGTGAGGCCGTGGTGTCACTCCGGTCGAGCTGACCCTGATAATCATCATCATCAGGATCGGACCTCATTTTTTATGGGACATCCGGCTACAACCTTTCAAATTCACAGCAACTTCTTTAAACCAGAATCTACTGTAGATCAACATACAACAACAACAACATCAACAGCCTATAAGTGTCCACTGCTGAGCAAAGGCCTCTTCTCATACGGAGAAGGTTAGAGCATTAATCACCAAGCTTGCTCAATACGGGTTGGCGACTTCAAACTTATAATTAGAAATTATAAATTCCAGGTTTCCTCACGATGTTTACCTTCACCGTATGTCAGTGGTGTCTAAACAATCATAGAAAGTACATATAACTCGGAAAAAGTCCCATTGGTACTTGCCAGGTTTCGAACCCACCCTCATGCATGGGAAGCGGGCGCCTTAACCTTAACTACGACATCCTGTCGATACTGTAAATACAACAATGAAAACACCGAAACACTGAAGTCCCAGGGACATGAATGACTGTCTTGGATCCCGCAACGAAATAAATCAGAAGATATTATTTGAGGAGTAGACATATTTTGTTTTATAAATTTATCATTCGTTAACACACACTAGGAGTTTCTTCTGTTTAAGAAAAAGAAGAAGAAGAAGTAGTGTAAATAAAAAAATGTTTTGTATTTGAAAGTTTATTTGTTGTTGAAAACCTAAGCCATGTGATAGCTTGCGTACGGCGCGTAGCGTTCCGCGCGCGCCTCAAAGAGCCATTCGACCACCACAGACGGGGCCCTAAAGGGCTGATGTTCAGCCGGGGTTGCGGGGTAAGCGCAATGAGGCACCGCGGCCTGGGCCTAAAGCAGGGGAAGTAAAGGGAAGCGGAAACGGGCTTAGTTTAATCAGTAAGAGTCTTTTTTTGTGAGGGGAAAATCATCAAATGACTTCTTCTGCCCAGGGCCGGGCGGGAGGGAGTTTCAGACTCTGACTGACTAAAAACCCCTCTGTTCCTTCTCCTGCTCTGGGCTGAGGTCGCGGTGCCTCATTGCGCTTACCCCGCAACCCCGGCATCAGTAAGAGTCTGACACTCACTCCCGCTCCACCCTGAGCGGGAGAAGTCAATTGATTATTTTCGCCTCAAAACAAAAGCCATCATACGATAGCTCCTAAAGCAAAGCCGGGCACTAAAACTACTATACATATATATGTATGTAGGTGACTTATCAGATTATGTGTCATATATAAATATACTATATTACACGTTTTTTATTTATCAAATTGATAGTATATGTTGTATCGTCGAGTGGATAACTTTGTTTGAGTGTACATAACATATGCAGCAACATATAACATATTTTCCGTAAATATAAGGTAAATATTTTTGTTTCATTTTATTAAGATTCAAATACATTTTGTGTTTCTCTAGAAAAATATTAGTGTTACACTGTTCTCACATAATTGAACCAACTAAATAATGAACCAAAGAATCTGTATGTGAAACTGATTGAAAAAGAGTGACCATGGAGTTTCTTGCTCGTTCTTCTCCATCGGAATCTACACTTTGGAACGAGCAAATAGCTTCACTAAGAGGACTGACAGACAGACTAACACTTTATATCTTTAAAATTTTGTTTGACTTTTAAAAGTAAGTAGTAATAGGCGTCTAATTGAAATAAATGATTTTGACTTTGACTTTGATTACCTAATTAATCAATTAACTCAATGAGTAACTGTTTGATGGCTAAATTTCTCGTTCAGACTATGAGTTTAAGGGTGTAAGGATTGACTGACTGACTTGCTAGCAATTCGCTCAGAAACCGGGTCATTGCACCAAAATTGTAGGTTAGGTTGGTTGTATGTTCATCAAACGAGGATCAAGTAAGGGGAAGGATTGGGTATCCGGTAACCTCACTCACACGGCGAAACACAACGCTGTGGTTGTTTCACGCCGGTTTTCTGTGAGGCCGTGGTATCACTCCGGTCGAGCTGACCCATTCGTGTTGAAGCATGGCTCTCCCACACTTGATTACACGTGTTTTAGCGGAGGCCACGTCTAGGCAAACGTAGTGTAGGGCGCCCTCCAGCTAGGTGGACTGACAATATCCGCAGGATGGCTGGCAGTGGTTGGATGAGAAGAACTGAACTTCGAACTCAGTGGCGTGCCATTGAGGAGGCATATCCAGCAATGGACAGAATCAAGATCATGATCTTCAAATGTAAAAAAAACACAATTTTAATCCCTTTTCTCAATATTTTCCCAGACAGAAATAGCCTTAAACAATGAAAGGGTCAATAGCAGTGCTGATGTTGTGCCTATCCAGTGGATTCGCATATAAGATCCTTTGCATCCTTCCTGTACCTTCGAAGAGCCATGATCATCTGTCGCTGGGTATCGTGAAGCCACTTCTTAAAGCTGGTCATCAGGTAAGACTTGTGTGAAAATAGGATCAGATCAAGATTCTACTAATAGTGTAGAGGGATGAATGGATGTTTGTTACTCCTACACGAAAATCCACAGAATGGATTTTGTTGAAAATTGGCAAAAATATAGAAAGTATTTTTCTCTTGAAGTCCAGACGCGAGAGGGAGTGTCAGACTCTTACTGACTAAAAACTACTACCCCGTTCCTTCTCTTGCTCTGCCCTGGCCGCGGTACTTACATTATTCTGCTTGGACCCAAGATGGGTGCCACTAGGCGAGGCTTTGGGAGCCTAAACAACTATCAGCACGATGATAGCCACTTCCACACTCCACAAGTAGCAAACCTTGTGAGCCAAGTGAAGATATTGTATTTTTTTATGTTGTTTACCTGATGTTAAGCAATTTCTATAAGACCTCTTGGGGATAAGGGTTTTGGAGATTTTGGGAATGAGGAGGGATCTGGGGAGTGGAAGGATTTGGCCTCCGGTAACCTCACTCACACGGCGAAACACAACGCTGTGGTTGTTTCACGCCGGTTTTCTGTGAGGCCGTGGTACCACTCCAGTCTAGCCGACTTATTCATTCCGAAGCGTGGCTCTCCCACACTTAAAATTTATTCAGTCTCCCACACTTTGTAATTAAATTATTTTTATTTGATTATTCAGGTGACATGGGCGACGCCGTATGAGAAAAAGAATATTCACGAAAACTTGACTGTGATAGAACTGAAAGAGATACGGGAGTTTGTTGAAGGTAAATAGAGAATAATGTATATACACTCATCATCATCATCATCATCATCATCATCAGCCTTTTAAGTAGTCACTACTGAGCAAAAGCCTCTTCTCACTATGAAAAGGTTTGAGCATAAACCAGCACGCGGATTGGCGATTTCAAACTTATAATCAGAAATTATAAGTCCAGATTTCCTCACGCTGTTTTCCTTAACTGTACGTCAGTGGTGTCTAAATAATCATAGAAAGTACCTACTTACATAAAACTCGGAAAACAAAGATAGAATGTTCAAATTAAAACACATCTATTCCTATCTTAGAAGACGCCCAACAGGGCTGATGTTCAGCCGTAGATATGAGTACAAGCAACGCCATCACGCAAGAATCGCATCTTACAAATAAATCTTCAAATAAACCTAATACATAATAATTTCCCCAACTCAGGAATATAATTCGAGGTCCACTTGCTCGAGAGTAGGGTTGACGAGCACTTGAACAGTGATGCACTCAAATACTTTGTTCTGTATATCATCATCATCATCATTATCATCATCATCATCAGCCCATAAGTGCCCACTGCTGAGCAAAGGCCTCTTCTCACACGGAGAAGGTTTGAGCATTAATCACCACGCTTGCTCAATGCGGTTGGCTATTTCAAACTTATAGTTTATTAGAAATTAAAGTCCAGGTTTCCTCACGATGTTTACCTTCACCATATATCAGTGGTGTCTAAATAATCATAGAAATTACTTACATATAACTCGGAAAAAGTCACATTGGTACTTGCCAGGTTTCGAACCCTCACCCTCATGCATGAGAAGCGGGCTCCTTAACCTCCGGGCCACCACAACCTCCTTACACAATAATTTCGCCAATTGGATGAGGACATTGAAGGGCCAATCCTTCCCCAATCATTTTTTATTCTTTTTTTTTTAAAACGTTGCCTTACATTAGGATTTTCTCCTGTGTCGTGGGTGCTGTTACAACCATACAATTTCACATACACAAGACTCCCAGACCCGGAACAACAATCTGTGGATCACACAAATCGGGAATCGAACCCGCTACACGTTGCACGGAAGCCAGTTGCCCAGCCACCGCACCAACCGTGCAGTCTATCCCATCCTTAATCTTTAAATCCCTGAATCCTCAAATTCCTATTCCCCAAAAGACCGATAACGCTCTTGTAACCCCTCTGTGGGTGTCCATTCAGGACCCTGATTGCTTACCATCAGCTTGAACCACCTGCTCCTCATTCAACATTATCATCATCAGCTGGAATACGTCTCCAATAATGTTTATTTCTTCCATAGCAATGGACATCATGGGTAAAAGCGACGTGGGCTTCCAATATATGAAGGAGTTCAGTCGGAATATCTCCATCAGCACCACTCAGCACCCTGGTCTTCAGAAGGTGTTGGTGGAACAGCAGTTCGATGCGGTTGTCTCCGTGTGGTTCATGAATGAATTTGAAGCTGGGTAAGTTGTAATACATTATATGTACAAATCACTTCATCACATCATCAGCCTATAAGTGCCTCCAGAACAAAAGGGTCTTCTAACACGCAGAAGGTTTGAGCATTACTCACCACGCTTGCTCAAGCCGGATTGACGATTTCAATGGTGTTTGAATTATCTAAGAAAGTTTGTATATCTCGAAAAGTTACCAAGGTATTTCCAAAGAGTGCTTCTTCCGCAACTGGATTCCTCTTGATTTCAGCATAAGGTTTTTTTAGGTTGTAGAATTCCTCTATAAATGGACCTTCATCAAAATTTTATTTTTCTAACTTAATAATTCATTACTATTATTTTTTATGTGATAGGACGGAAACAAGCAGACGAATTATCTGATGGTAAGCAATCGGCGACGCCCATGGACACCTGTAACACCGGAGGGGTTACGAGTCACTCGAGTACCGACTCATTACGAGTGCGTTGCCGGCCTGTTCTGGTTGAGGATTAGGCTTTTGGAGATTTAGGGATTGGGGCATTGGAAGAAGGTTTGGGCCTCCGGTAACCTGACACACACGGCGAAACACACAAAGTTTTGGTTATTTCACGCCAGTTTTCTGTAAAGTCATCATCATCAATCATCATTCCAGTCAAGTTGACCCATTATGTGAATAAAGACAGACACAACCCAGAAAACCATTGTAATAGATTCCGTTACTCATTTTCTTTCAGTTACGCAGCCATTCAGCAGGTGCCCTGGATCCTCGTCAGCTCTATAGGCTACCATCCTTTCCTGGAGAAGCAGGTAGACCAAATCAGGTCTATTTCCACCGTTCCTTTGGCTTTTAATGACAATGGTGATCGCCCGATGTCCACCTTCCGACGCTTTATCAATGGCCTCATATATATGCTGATGAACGTTGATGAATGGTAAGTTTTAATGGCTACAGAAACACCTCATCATCAGCATCATCATCAGCCTTTTATTATAAGTGCCCTCTGCTCTGAGCAATGTCCTCTTTTCACATGTATAAGGTCTCTGCGGTCGGCGAGTAATGGTAGCTCGCCGCCCCACCAGAACCAGACTCGAACATACGGCGTGTAGCGTTCCGCGCGTGCCTCAAAGAGCCAATAGATCACCACAGACGGGACCCTACAGGGCTGATGTTCAGCCGGGTTTGCGGGGTAAACGCAATGAGGCACCACGACCTAGGCCCAGAGCATAAAAAGGCACAGGGGGTTTTTAGTCATTAAGAGTCTGACACTTCCTCCCGCCCGGCCCTGTGCGGGAGGAGTCATTGGATGATTTTCCCCCCACCAAAAGAATAAAAAAAAACATTGATAAGGACCTCAATACCGAATACATTTATTCCCTCTCCTCATGCCATCGTCCTCCTTGCCTCCTCTCATCATCATCGCCTCTTCTCAGACAGAGAAAGTTTGAGCATCAATCACTATTCCTCAAGGCGGATTGGCGATTTCAAACTCATAATAAGAAATTATCGGTCCAGGTTAACTCACGATGTTTTCCTGCACTGTTTTTCAGTGATGTCTAAATAATCATAGAAAGTATATGTATATTATTGTAATTCAGAAAAAAGTCGAATATTGGTAATTTGGTACTTGTTACTGACACATTGATCCTTACCCTCTGGACGACCATGATATTAACCAAGTGTTAATTAAATATTTAGGTATATTTTGCATAAAAATTTCAAACCTGTTCATTTTTGACTTATAAAATTTCTCATATTACTTATAATAATATTTATTTTCAGGTTCGACAAATCCACAATAACGTCGACCTACGAATCCATCTTCAGCCCTCTAGCAGCGAAGAGAGGAGTGCCCCTCCCTCCCTTCGAAGACGCCTACCACAACGTATCCATAATTCTGGCAAATTCCCATGAGTCTATCGGCTATCCGATGAGCCAGCCACCGAACGTCATCAACATAGCTGGTTATCATATTGAGGAGCCACCTCCGTTGCCTAAGGTAAGAACTTAAGGGAGAACTCACCGATCCTTATCTCCGGCTTGCCTTTATTGGCTGGCCACAGAGAACGATGACCAGGAGGAACAGGTCTCCCACCTCTGGCATTGGACGTGAGTGGAATCGCGAGAGCAGTCATCTTGCTCGGATAGTGGAAGCTGTTCTTAAGCGGCGAGTGGGTCAATGCTTAGGTAGATGCAAATGATCTGAGTTGAAAATTGGTGGCAGTTTCTTCACCCTTCAGCCACTCACATTTCCGTTGTCCCTGTGTTTCTATTTCCAGTAACGTATCAGTTACATTATTTTACGAAGTATCCTCCTCCTGTTGCGAAGCAGTCGTGTTATCACCGATGGAAGCGGAATACGAGAGGAAACGAACCTCCTGATGTCCCAGCTGCCTCAGAAGGCGCTCTGAGAGTAGAGCATTGCGGGACGATGTCCAAACATAGAAACCGTGGGCTCTTCTCAAAAATAGGTGTTTCGTTCCACGTGCACCTCAAAGACCCAATAGACCGCCACAGGCGGGGGCCCTACAGGGATGGCGTTCAGCCGGGGTTGCGGAGTAAGCGCAATGAGGCACCGCGGCCTCAGCCTAGAGTAGGAGAAGAAACGGGCGGGTTTTAAGTAAGTCTGACACTCCCTCTTGCCTCACCCTGGGCGGGAGGAGTCATCAGATGTATTTCCCCTGACAAAAATGAGCGTTTCGTGAATCTCTCCAACAAGAACAGTACCATTTTCCCTAGATCCTGGGTCATAACCAACATAACTTACTTACATAGTCTTATCATTCCAGGATCTCCAAGACTTACTGGACGGATCACCTCAAGGTGTCATCTACTTCAGTATGGGTTCTATCCTCCGCTCGTCATCCCTGAAGCCTCACACACGCGATGCTCTGCTGAAGCTGTTCGGGTCTCTACCTTTCACAGTGCTGTGGAAGTTCGAAGAGCCTATAAAAGACCTTCCCCCTAACGTCCACGTGAGACCCTGGATGCCTCAGCTTAGTATACTTGGTAATTAACTTTATTTTCATCATCAGCAGCTAATTCCTTACATTTTTTTTAATACGTTGGCCCTCACTAATGCTTCCCTGTGTCTTGAGGGCGTTTACAAACATACACTATCACAACCAGAGTTGTTCTTTGCTGGAATCCAACTCGCTACACGTTACGCGGCAGCCAGTTGCCCAGCCACTGCGCCAACCTTACAGTGTATGCAACCATGTTTCCATTGAGACAGAGACAGAAACAGAGACAGAGACAGAGACAGAGACAGAGACAGAGACAGAGACAGAGACAGAGGCAGAGGCAGAGACAGAGACAGAGACAGAGACAGAGACAGAGACAGAGACAGAGACAGAGACAGAGACAGAGACAGAGGCAGAGGCAGAGGCAGAGGCAGAGACAGAGACAGAGACAGAGACAGAGACAGAGACAGAGACAGAGACAGAGACAGAGACAGAGACAGAGACAGAGACAGAGACAGAGACAGAGACAGAGACAGAGACAGAGACAGAGACAGAGACAGAGACAGAGACAGAGACAGAGACAGAGACCGAGACAGAGACAGAGACAGAGACAGAGACAGAGACAGAGACAGAGACAGAGACAGAGACAGAGACAGAGACAGAGACAGAGACAGAGACAGAGACAGAGACAGAGACAGAGACAGAGGCAGAGGCAGAGGCAGAGACAGAGACAGAGACAGAGACAGAGACAGAGACAGAGACAGAGACAGAGACAGAGACAGAGACAGAGACAGAGACAGAGGCAGAGGCAGAGACAGAGACAGAGACAGAGACAGAGGCAGAGGCAGAGGCAGAGACAGAGACAGAGACAGAGACAGAGACAGAGACAGAGACAGAGACAGAGACAGAGACAGAGACAGAGACAGAGACAGAGACAGAGACAGAGACAGAGACAGAGACAGAGACAGAGACAGAGACAGAGACAGAGACAGAGACAGAGACAGAGACAGAGACAGAGACAGAGACAGAGACAGAGGCAGAGACAGAGACAGAGACAGAGACAGAGACAGAGACAGAGACAGAGACAGAGACAGAGACAGAGACAGAGACAGAGGCAGAGGCAGAGGCAGAGACAGAGACGAAACTCACATTTTGAAAACTCACGTGAAATTCGGGGATTGGGGAGGGGTTCAATGAAATCTCACTACATCTCACCAGGGGGGGAGGAAGGGGCAGAAAATTGAAGAAAACACTTCACGTCATTTATGGACGCCCCCTTATCCAAAACAAAACAAAATTTTCCACGCTTTATTTTCCAGTGCACAAAAACGTCCGTCTCTTCATCACCCACGGTGGTCTACTAAGCACTTTGGAAGCGGTCTACGCTGGAGTACCACTCCTCGCGATACCAGTATTTGGAGACCAACCCTCGAATGCTGAACGAGCTGAACTTGCTGGGTATGCTGTGAAGGTGGCGTTTAGTGATGATATGGTACCCGATGTGGCGGCAGCTCTGCAGAAAATGCTTAGCACTGACACGTAAGTAGCACAATCACTACGTTTAGTAGGTATAAAACAAAATCGCTTTCTCTATCCCTTTATCCCTATGTATGCTTCAATGTTTGAAACCTCGCAACGGATTTTGATTCGGATTTTTAGTAGATAGAGTGATTGAAGAGGAAGGTTTATATGTGTAACTAGCTTTTAGCCTGCGTCTTCGCCCGCGTGCTGTGTTTGTAAAAAGCAGCAAATAGCAATAGATGAAAATCGAGGTATAAATAAAATTGTCTCAGTTTTATGGGTAACTAAAAACCCTATTACTTACTAAGTCTCTGCTATCCGTTCGTCAATAGACAGAATGGTATGGATGTAACTAATAGGTAAGTATAATAACATTTAATTAAACCTATGTTTTAATATATTTTGAAAACCGCGTCGCGTCGTGCGCGGCGATCGTTACACAAAAATAATCCTTATAGCATGATTTACACCCGGTTTCCGAAAGGCCGATCAATGTTAAAATCAATTTAATCTCTTGTCAAGTCATCTGATTGGTTGACTGAATTATCAATAACCAATCAGATGACTTGACAAGAGATTTAACAGGAGATTAGTTAATTTTAGCGTTGACAAGCCTTTCAGAGACCAGGTGTTAGTGTTCATGTGCGACGATGCGATAGCTTATTATCCGCACTCTTAAGCTACCATTTTCATAACATTTCCCTTCATTGCTCTGCTCCAATTAATTCAAGCGTGATGAAAAGTATCATATAACCTGCCCAGGAGTATAAAGAATAATTGTACCACGTTTCGTTAAAATCCGTCCAGTAGTTTTTGTTTCTATAAGGAACATACAAACAGACAGACAGACAAAGATTTTACTGATTGCATTTTTGGCATCAGTATCGATCATTAATCAACCCGTGATAGTTATTTACCCCGTGCGTATGTCGTGATGGCCCGGAGGTTAAGGAGCCCGCTTCTCATGCATGAGGGTGTGGGTTCGAAACCTGGCAAGTACCAATGTGACTTTTTCCAAGTTATATGTACTTTCTAAACACCACATACGGTGAAGGTAAACCTCGTGAGGAAATCTGGACTTATAATTTCTAATTATAAGTTTGAAATCGCCAACCCGCATTGAGCAAGCGTGGTGATTAATGCTCTAACCTTCTCCGTATGAGAAGGGGCCTTTGCTCAGCAGTGGGCACTTATAGGCTGATGATGATGATTGATTGAAACATTAACTATTTTATAAATCCTTGTCAAGACTAATTTCCTCGACTATTCTGTCTGCCAAACCTTAAATAAATGCTTGTGTTCAGGTACAATACTCATTAATCATTTTCTTGTTCTAGTTACTACAATAAAGTAAAGCAAATTTCAAAGACGTTCCGCATGCGGCCAGTTCCTCCATCGGACCTGGTCAAATTCTACATTGAACTTGCTATAGAGACCAAAGGTAAATAATATTTTTTAACCGACTTCCAAAAAGGAGGATGGTTCTCATTTCGACCTTATATATTATGTATGTTTTTATGTTTGTTCGCCGATATCTCCGTTATTTATGAACCGATTTTGATAATTCTTTTTTGTTGAAAAGGAGATAGTCTCAGAAAGAATGTCCCATGTTGTTGTATAGTATGCAGCATTTACTTGGCACCGACTTTAAGATTATAAAATAGGTATTAAATATTATTTACTATTTAACTAAATAAAAATATGTATTTCTATAAACAAAGTAGGTAAACTTATTTTTTGCTTTTTAGTTTACTTTTGGAAGTCGGTTTTTTTTTTTGTTAAAAATTATTTTATTTGTAATTCATACATCGATAGTCGCGATCAAATTATTATCTAAAGACTTCAGAAGTTCTACATCAGACAAATAAAGTTTTGCGCACAGATTAAAATGTATAGAAAATCAACCTATAACAACTGTTGGACATGATCACCTTACCTATTTGAAAGATCCTTCATTTTCCGTTCTTAGAGATATTTAATATCTGCAGTGCTATTCTGTAAATGGTATCCACGGATGGTATCTCAACTCGAAAATCATCTCGCAAGTCACATATCACTTCGCTTCTCATCTCGCCTGTACCTACACAAACGTCAAATAACTCACTTGTTTTAGTTCCTTTCACTTCGTTATTCACGTGGTGGCGCCAATGTAGATTTCACTCCATTTGAGAATACGTAACTTTAAATAAACATTATTTCACTGATTGGGTAGTTTCCTAGGTCAAATATAAAATAATTTCACGTTTCAATACAGTAAAATATAAAAAAATAACCATACTTTTAAACTTTGGTCGATATCGACCAAAGTTTTAGATATTTTTAGCTAATTATTAAGAGATAAGTAAAAAAATTGACGCAAGAATACTATGACGTCATCACTCACTTTTTCAGTGTCCGTTACCCAGGCCAGATGTTGACGACATTGGTCATTTGAATCTTATAGATAATTAGTTGTGCGGCTTCTGTAATTGTTGCGCACATTTTTAAATTTGTTGCGCTTATAGTTTTTTAGTTATTTCACAAAAACATTTCCTGCTGGCGTAACGTTACCACAGCCAGACCTTTTTCTTTCTAATGGGAATATTTAAATAAATATTAGCTATAAAATTAGTTGTCTAGATAAAGTAAATTTTGTGCCTTATTTTGTATTTGTTCTTTCTTCGGTTGCGAAGTTATTCGAGATTTTGCTGCGGTAACGTTTTTGGTTTTGCTAGATCTTTGAAATGGTTAAGCGGATTCTTATCATATTTTGTACACAACTTCCGAGGACTTAGTTTAAATTTGTTGTGCAATAACAAAACCAAAATAATGCATATTTTAAAGGTTTTTTCATTAAATAGAAAAACACTTCAATTGACCCCAGCACTCCCAATAAGAAGTCGAAAAATTTACTTCAAACGTAATTTTAAAGCTTGTAACTGCCTTCAAATGTATGTGAAGTTTCATTAGTATCCCGTAAGTATTTAACAAGTTATGATGATATTCAGTTCTTCACGAGCACGGTCTTAATGCACGCGGTGTTATTTGGCCACTGGATTGGATATATGAACTGAATGTTATGTCAATGATTAGTTGTTTAGATCAGTTGTATATCAGTAAAATTTCAATTCAATACATTGGATAATTAATGAGATAATACTATTAAAGTCATTAGGAAGTGAATGACCGTGGTAAGCCGACCAAGTTTAGGTGGTTACGAAAAAGCGAAAACGCAGAACATTATGGTACCTTCTAAAATATGTAGGATAGTGTTATAAATTTAGTACAGACATGTACAAAAGTTTAAAAAAAACTACATGATTATTCAAGATTTTTTGTTGAAAGGTAAAATAATCATTTTAATTGAACTTTTACTCCCTTACTTATAAAAACTTGTGTTGCTTAGCAACCGATTAAACATCACCCGTCCTTGTTATTTCTATTTCAAAATGCAGTTCAAAAATCATCTAAAAGGTTACAAAAGTAACCTTCTGGCAAGACTGAGTGCGTTATGCAAACAATGTATTACCCCTTCACCCCACTCCTCCTGCGTCCTACCGAACAACATGCTCTAGCGGTGATTTTTGATAATTTTGTGGAACTGGAAGATAATGTTTTCTTTTATATTATTATTATATAGGCAATTACCAGTGTACGCGTCTGTACCAAAATTGTAAGGTGTATTATACTAAACATTTCAAAAGATAGTACAATGTTCTGCGTTTTCGCTTTTTCGTAACCACCTAAACTTGGTCGGCTTACCATGGTCATTCACTTCCTAATGACTTTAATAGTATTATCTCATTAATTATCCAATGTATTGAGATGAAATTTTACTGATATACAACTGATCTAAACAACTAATCATTGACATAACATTCAGTTCATATATCCAATCTAGTGGCCAAATAACACCGCGTGCATTAAGACCGTGCTCGTGAAGAACTGAATATCATCATAACTTGTTAAATACTTACGGGATACTAATGAAACTTCACATACATTTGAAGGCAGTTACAAGCTTTAAAATTACGTTTGAAGTAAATCTTTCGACTTCTTATTGGGAGTGCTGGGGCCAATTGAAGTGTTTTTCTATTTAATGAAAAAACCTTTAAAATATGCATTATTTTGGTTTTGTTATTGCACAACAAATTTAAACTAAGTCCTCGGAAGTCGTGTACAAAATATGATAAGAATCCGCTTAACCATTTCAAAGATCTAGCAAAACCAAAAACGTTACCGCAGCAAAATCTCGAATAACTTCGCAACCGAAGAAAGAACAAATACAAAATAAGGCACAAAATTTACTTTATCTAGACAACTAATTTTATAGCTAATATTTATTTAAATATTCCCATTAGAAAGAAAAAGGTCTGGCTGTGGTAACGTTACGCCAGCAGGAAATGTTTTTGTGAAATAACCAAAAAACTATAAGCGCAACAAATTTAAAAATGTGCGCAACAATTACAGAAGCCGCACAACTAATTATCTATAAGATTCAAATGACCATTGTCGACAACATCTGGCCTGGGTAACGGACACACTTTTTCATACACATAGAAAAGTATCGTTTTTGACATTTGGATAAAAGTATTGAGTTTGATAAGTTGGAAACTACCGTATTAACTTTTGAGAATAGCATACCTGTTCCTGTTACAGGAAGAAATACACCTTGAAAATTGCTAAAGAGAGACTAATTTTGTATATATCTTTCACAGGCGCTTACCACATTCGGTCATCAGCGTTAGAATACAAATGGTATGAGCGATGGATGCTCGATTTTGTCCTTGTAGTGGTTGCCGTCCTTGTCGCACTTGTCACGCTCATCAAACTGGCCGTGACAGCCATTCTCAGAAGAATACTCGGCAAAAAACAGAAGATTCAATCGCTTAAGAAGAGAAATTAGGTAGTTAATGTAGTATGTTAAGATGTCTTTATGAATAAAATAAGGTTGAACTAATAATTTTGCTTACCTCAATATACCTAAATGGAGTTTTTTATTTAATTTTGTAATTATAAGACTTTAGGTAGCTTTCAAGAAACACGGCGTGAGTCAACCATAGATGAGTTGGAGGAGTCCAAGAAAGATGGGTTCCAGTAACCTCACTCGCATGGCGAAACAACGCTGTGGTTGTTTTACGCCCGTTTTCTGTGAGGCAGTGGTATCACTCCGGTCGAGCCGACCGTACACACCGAAGCTTGGCACTCATACACTTACCAAATTTTTATTTTAAGAACATTCAAAAGAATATTTAAAAATATGTTCATTTTAACTAAGGTATAATTATTACAATAACTATAAAAGCTAGTCATCTATGTGTGGCTAGCTTTTGACGCACAAAATGGCTTACCATTTTTAGTATGTTGGGTTGTATATTTGTCCAACATTAGAGACCTTTATTTTAACTTTATTAAAAAGGTTTATCTAGCAGCAGATTGAACCCACTAGGGCCGATTGCTTACCATCAGGTAATCGGTACCTTTAACATAAAAAATAATATTATACTACCTCAAAAAAGCGATACTAATAGCATATTCAAACCCCTGGAGACTGGAGGGTTTTCTGTCTGATATTTTATATAATGAAATTGACTGACTAAAAGTTTATATGCAAAGAGGCTAAATAAAATACCTGTTATTCTTTCTAATAATATTATTACATACATCTGAGTGCCTTTACACAACGATAATGTACTCAAAATGTACAGAATACTGAAAATTTTACCATTACGCGTAGTGCTCGAAACATTCGAAAAAAAAACAAAAATAAATAAAACAAAGAGTTTTTATGTCGTCACATAAAGATAAACTTGTGTACTTCTGGACAATTATTACTTAGACACATAAATAATACATATACAGAATACGAGGCGCACTTTAATTAAATAAATAACAAAATAATCCGTAGCTGACACGTGCGTACACTTCGCCATCTATAAACCTACTGATTGGATCGTGTATGTTACATGATATTCTTTTTTCAAACTCTCCGACCTGCGAAGCTCTTCTTCACTGTTATAACATTATGGTAACTCCGTTGCTAGTAATAAGGTCGGTTTTCTTGTATCTACAATCCGGCGATGATGGTCGCGGGGTCTTCCACGCCCTGCTTGATCTTCCTGAGGAACATGACAGCTTCACGGCCGTCGATCAGCCTGTGGTCGTAAGTAAGAGCTATGTACATCATAGGCCTGATGACGACTTGGCCATTGACTGCGATGGGCCGTTCGAAGATTCCGTGCATGCCCAGGATGGCTGACTGAGGGGGGTTGATAATAGGAGTTCCCATCAATGAGCCGAATACTCCACCGTTGCTGATCGTGAAGGTACCGCCGTCCATCTCTTCGATGGTAAGTTTACCGGACTTGGCTTTCTCGGCGAGACCAGCGATCGTCAGCTCGATGTCTGCATACGTCATATTTTGTACATTCCTAACTACGGGCACCACCAGACCTTTAGGCGTGGCCACCGCTACAGATATATCTACGTAGTCGCGGTAAATGATTTCATTGTCTTCGATGACCGCGTTCACAACAGGCTGGTCCATCAAGGCAGTCGCTGATGCCTTCACGAAGGGTGACATGAGACCTAGCTTCACGCCATGTTTCTTGGTGAAAGCTTCGAGGTGCTTCTTCCTGAACGCCATTATATGAGACATGTCGATCTCGTTGAAGGTGGTCAGCATAGCGTTGGTGTTCTGTGCCTCCTTCAAACGCTGTGCGATACGCTGACGCATCCTGTTCATCTTCACGCGCTGTTCAGTGCGCGTGCCAGCGATCTCCTTGCTGTAATCCGCGGGAGGAACTTTCACGGACGCAGTTTCGATGGATTGCGCGTGACGGATCGCTGCGACAGGGATCGAGGAGATGGGAGCAGCTGGTTTCGGAGCTGCTGCCGCAGGTGCTGGTGGTGGAGGTGGGGGCGGGGCTGCGGCTGCTGGGGGAGGTGGTGGGGGTGGAGCTGCGGCTGCTGGGGGCGGTGGGGGAGGAGCCTCAGCCTTCGGAGGCTCGGGAGCAGGCGCGGCCGCAGCCTTAGGCGGCGGGCCTCCCTCGGTCAGCTCCAATCTGAACAACTTCTGGCCAGCCTTCACAGTGTCTCCGTTGTTCACGTAGAACTCCTTAATGATACCATTGCCGGGTGCCATGACAGGCAGAGCGGTCTTGTCGGTCTCAATCTCCATGACGACCTCGTCCATAGCGACGGCGTCTCCGACTTTCTTTTCGATTTTCGCATCTCCTTCAGAGACGGAATCGGGGAAGCTTGGAGTCATGATGTCTTGTTCGGCGAGGAGTGGGTTCGTGAAGTGGATGGTGGCGACTTGGTTGTGGGCTGCTGTCAGGACCCGGGGCTGGGCAGTCCTCGCGGCCGCCTGAGACAGAGCCCCGAAGACCTTAGGGGCCTCTGAAGACTTGAACCGAAGGGCTTGCCCCTGCCTTCGGTACAAGGTCTGTAAATGCTTGGAGCAGCGTCGTAACATTTTGAGTATTTTTTGATGAGATTTTCCTTTTTACCCTGAAAAGAGAGAAATTATATTATTAGTACGATCGGATTATTTATAGACTATAATAGAGCACCGAGGTATATTTGACTGCACAGTTGGCGCAGTGGTAGGGCAACTGGCTGCTGTGCAACGTGTCGCGGGTGCGATTCCCGCACGCAACAATTTATGGATCACACTTTGTGTGATCCATAAATTGTTGTTTCGGGTCTGAGTGTGTTGTGTATGTGAATTTGTATGTTTGTAAACGCACCCACGACACCGGATAGAACAACGTGTGGGGCAACGTTTTTTAAATAAAAAAAGAAAAAAATATCATTTGCTGAAAAGTTTAGACGCTTTCAGTAGATAAAAACCTTTTTTTGCCAAAATGTGAAATATAATTATTGTCTTTGTAACTTCGCCCGATTCGATGCGTATATAAATACACATTCTTGCACCTCTACCTACCTATCAATGCACCTCATATAAATTATTTATTCGTAAGAAACAAATTATCATCTATAAACTACATTCTCAAAAGAATTATGGATTTACGATTTCATGTCTATTTCAGTTAATCTCCGATTTCTTTCTTTTGGCTTTTCACCAATTCGGTCAGGGTCATCTCTGAAACTAACCACGGGACCGAAAGTATTTTTCACTATTGTTTATCAAAATTTAGTATCCAAATGGTTTTCAAATGGATTAGGGAATAATAAATCAAGTTTAACTAATGTTGTCCTACACAAAGATCTTGTATCGTGAGTGCGCTTTCAAACATACAATTGGGTAGTTTCCTAGGTCAAAAATAAATTAATTCGACGTTTCAATACAATAAAATATTGAAAAATAACTATACTTTTATTAATCAATCGATCGATACACAAAATTTTAGATACTTTAAAAGGCAATTTTTAAGAAATGATTAAACTATTTGACGCAAAAACACAATGACGTCATAACACAGTTTTTCAAACAAATTTCATAGAAAAGAATCGTTTTTGACATTTAGATAAAAGTATTGATAGTATAGAAACTGCCGTATTGTATGAATGCGACAGCTAGTCTACGAATATATGCCTCATAGCTAAGCCGTTGTCTATTGCTACCCTGATATAATTGGCATTTACTAATATTATAAAGCTGTCGAGTTTGTTTGTAGGAGCTTATCTCCGGAACGACTGAATTGAATTGAATTTTTGTTTTTGTGTTCATTAGTCCATTTATCGAGGTAGGCTATGAGCTACAAAACATCACGATCAAATGGAGCAGCGGGTGAAACAGCGAAGTAGCTAGTTTAATGATAAACTAGCCACCCGACTTCGCACGCGTATAAGATTAATGTATCCCGTAAATTTAAAACAGCAGCATTTAAAGCGACTAAAATACGCAAATCAATTCAGTCGCTGTTTAATTTATAGCCTATAGCACTCAGGAACATTGTAGCTATCTATCAGTGAAAGAATTTTGGCGATGCGACCAGCCGGGCCAAAGATTACCCCCTACATACCAATTTTCTTCCAACCTCACTATAATATTAGTATAAATGGCGTTTTACCCTCATCAATAGAAAAGGAATATCCACTACCATATTGTTCGTATGACTCATACTTATAAACGGTTTATAAACTAATCAATTAAATACTAATTAACTTCAGTAGACAGACATTAGGCGTAATTCCTGCGTCAGGTCAGAGGTGGCTTTTAACCAGATAATAAAGGTCACACGTGTTCTATACAAATATGAGAATGAGACTGGATTATGGCGATTGGAATTTAAGACTTATCCCACTTGCACACACGAAGGGGTTCGCGTTCAGTTTTATAAACAGAAACGCGTTTTTTTTTTTGTGAGGGTAAAATTATCAAATAGCTTCTCAAGCCCAGGGTCGGGCGGGAGGGAGTGTCAGACTCTTACTGACTAAAAACGACCCCGTTCCTTCTCCTGCTCTAGGTCAAGGTCGCGGTGCCTCATTGCGCTTACCCCGCAACCCCGGCTGAACATCAGCCCTTTAGGGCCCCGTCTGTGGTGGTCTATTGGCTCTTTGAGGCGCGCGGAACGCTACGCTCCGTATTCTCCGGAGAACCGTTAAGGACTGCAATTCTTTACCGGAGTCTATGTTCCCCGAAGGGTGTCTTCAAGGCCCGAATGAATTTTTAATTGCCAATCTAACTTAGGCTTGCTTTGAATTTAATGGTCAAACCTTCTTTGTGTGAAAAAGGGGCTTTTGATCAGCAGTGGGCACTTATAGGCTGATGATGTGAACTAGACTAAACCTTGTTGGAAAGAGAAGTATTTAAGACAAAAATTAATAGAAAAACGGATCACGCTTTACCTAAAATCGCGATGTTCCCTTACAACGTACTCAATCATGCAAAATCCAATCCTAATAGATTTTTTTTTTATTGAGCAACGTCATCAAGTATCTCCTCTCAACCTGGACGGTGCAAGAGGGAGTGTCAGACTCTTACTGACTAAAAACCTTGACTTGAAATGATAAATAATTATAATTTTGATAAACCCCACGCCAATATTTGTCATTGTGATAAACAGATACATCATTGTTGCTATATGTATAGTTAGTTTAAATAGGCACTTGAGATAAGGAATAAAAAGTGTGCATAATGAATGCTAGTATACTTAATAGGTACTAGTAATATGAAGTCCTGTAAAGCTCTAAGCGAGTGAACAGAAAGGTACTTGATATACCTAGGTACATATTTTAAGGAGAGCCATGCTTTGACACGTATGGGCCGACTCCCGGTTCGATCGACGCTACCACAGTCTCATTGGAAAGGTTTAATTCTGTGTCATAATTATTAGGTTAATAAGGTTTGAGCATTAATCACCACGCTTTCTCAAAGGCAGATTGGCCATTTCGCGAATATTATGCGTTTATAAACACATCCACGGCACAGGAGAAAATCCTGGGGCGACGCGACGTTTAGATATTACAAGACAAATCGTAAATACTCCTTAGTAAAAAAAATATAATAGGCATTCTATGGCTTTACTATTTGGCGGGTTTTTTACGATGACAGATGTCAAGAGTCAAGTATAGTGGCGTCATAGACAAATCTGTTTTTCGTTTTATTAAACTTTGTCTTTAAGCACGTAATATCTGAATGAAATTTATTATTTGTGATATTATTTATTTATACAGCATATTTACATAGATTGTTTGTTTGAATAAGCTTATAGATAATCGACATTTATTTCAAATAGATTATTTAAGTAATATACATTATCAAATAATTTGTTAGCAATTAAATTAAGTATTATTTCCTTTCCTTAGTTAAATTTTTCGACTGTTCAATAATGTAGAAAAACAAATAAATATAAATAAAACACACTTTCCTTTGATTTCACGATATACCTATGCTAAATTATTATGCTACTTAAAACGCGCGAAAACAAAAACATTAAGAATGGAACCCGTAAAAAAAATCATAAAATAATTAACAGTTTGAAAAGTTATCAAATTTGATGAAGTACCTATTAACTTATTACCTATTAATAAAAAAGTATTCAAATATTCTAATTATAAACAAAATTTTTCGTATTAATTAAATAAAATGAAGCAAGTATGCCAGCTTTAATAAAGTAAATAAAAATCATACAAAATTCTTAGCACACTCTATGACATTCAGAAATTACTACAGTTAATGCGACAACCACATTGTCTTTACCGTCACTCTTTAAAAATTTGAATTTATAATTAGATAATTTATTATTCTTTAAGTGTACAAAAGAATTTCTAATATATATCATTGAAAGGTCCTTGTTAAAAGTAAATGTTTTGTAATGTAAGAAAATTATAGATTTTACAGAGCTACAGTGGCGCCAGCTACTGAGTAAATATTAATATTCAGTCAGAAGAAGTAATAATACCAATTTTATTTACTGTCTATTCATTTATGTAAGTAAAGTCATGTGACACCATAAAATTCAGAGTAACACCATTTGGCATATTAAAAAAAAACAAATGAGGACCAAAGTCTGATCTTATGTATTCCATGGTTTTTACTTTCCCTGTAAATAAATGTGGATTAAAGAAGAAGATGGTTTTTACTTTATGTAAGCAAGTCCTAATATAATAAAAAATATTATCCCTTGACAGGAAAATAATAATTAAGTTCATGTAATTAATTATACTACCTAATTTGTTGTGATTTGAATGATTAACTAAAAATTTGAATGTTATATTTCCTTTAGCCCGCAAAAGCAAAATAATTTAAAAGTTATAGTAGGTAATTAAGATATCTTCTGATATTAAGTTAATTATTGTTTTTAAAAACACATTATCAGACTTGACAGGAGGTATTTATTTCATTATCTTATCTCTGAATGATGAGAATACGAAATTCAGTCCAAAATTATATAATTTGATAATTCAGATGAGTAATCCCATCTTACATTCAAGATTAGAAGATATGTCATTGATTAGTCAAAGATTGACAAAAATATTGTGAAATAAAATTGAGATAAATGGAAAATAATCAGCACTGCAAAATAAAATGGTTCAATAATAAAAGCATAAAAATTAAAATAATCAAATTGCACCACTTTTCAAAAAAAGTTCCAAATATAAAAAGGATGAAGGAGGACCTACATTGTTTACATTCACTAACTTCTTTCCTCATAGACTAATATATGAAAAAAAAACAAAATTTAAAAAAGGAACAGCAGTCTTATGACATTTCTTGGCAGTGAAGTGACAGAAAGCAGTGCATGAGATTATCAGATAAAATGCTAATAAATATGACTTAAACGATTAACAAAACACCGAAAGCTTTAAAAAGGAAGCATTGGAGATAAAGAGATTAATTGGTTAGTGTGTTACAGCTGGACACGGCCGGCAAACACCTACACGACTACACGATGCATTTCAAGGTTAGCTACGGAAACACAGACGAGTAAATGGACAAATATTAGTAAATTTATACCTCTTACCTTCTGGTGGAGGTAAACAACCGCTATCAGGTAATTACAACGTTATTTCACGGACATAAAATGTTACATAAGCTTATAACTCATGACAGTTCTCAACCACGAATAATGTTAGATTTTACAGTACTATCGAGTTACTTGGAAGCGTTATTCAATGCATTGCGTATCCACATCGATGTAACAACGTACTGAACTGATACTTCACTTATATTTTGACGCTGCTGTTAGAGAATTCAGTATTCAGATGTGGCCCCGAAGACCTACATTTATCACGATAGGTCTTTGCTCCGAAATTCAAGTTGGTGGTTCTGGTTATCCTATCACCTGTCAAAATCTGCACTTTTCCAAAGCCCCAACAATAGAGCGAAATAGCATAATCAACTGCTCCTCAAGAGTAAGTGAGATAGCACGAATTATACGCTAAATAAGCTTTGTTTGTAGGTTTGGAACGCTACCAAAAGAAAAAGTTGGGCTGCGTTTAGTTAGTGTTCCAAGAAGATTTGACGAAAATATTGATTTATCAATTTTGTGGTAAAGATGTCAGCGTTAATATTCTCAATTTTTACTAAAATGTATTTGTTTGTTGTACACTGGCTTGGTTTCAAAATGAAAAAATTGGTTGGCCCACCAGTGGTTTATAACGCGGTTGTTATTCCTATGGACCCAGTTTAAGTAGAATGTACCCGCAAAATTCGCTAGGTATAACTAAACGTGTGCATGTGATGTTCTTCTGTGTTGTAAGAAAAATAAATCAATAAAGATTTTTAAAAATCATGCTATTATTTCAATTTTTTTGGTTACATAACAATACTGAAAATTTCTTCAAAATTGTAGTTAATGGTGTCTCATTTATATTAGGAATAGGTAGGTACTCAATCGTATTTATACATAAGTACTATGACGTCATATCAACACGCTTTTCATTCCCTGAAGTATGTAAGCAGTGGTTCTGGTTGACGGTTCATATGAGTACGTCACCTTTTATCATATCCATGCCTGTTTATTTCGTTGCGGGACCCAGACAGACAACAGCCATCCATGTCCATCAGACGCGCCAAAATTCAGTGTTTCGGTGTTTTGGTTGTATGGACTTCGGACAGATTTTGGCGGGCGTGTCTTGAAAAAAAAATGTTTTTTTTGGGTTAAGTCGGCAAACGAGCAGACGGATTACCTGATAAGCAAACGGCAAACGTAGTGTGGACAGGCCTCCCGCTAGGTGAATCGACGACATCGTCAGAGTCGCGGAGAGCCAATGGATGCAGGTGGCAACTTGTCGTTCGACGTGGAGAGCTAAGGGGGAGGCCTTTGTCTAGCAGTGGACGTCTTCGGGCTGATGATGATGATGATGAAGTAATTGGCGCCGCCCATTGACAACCGCAACACCAAAAGAGTCATAAGTGCGTTACCGGCCTTTTGCGGACAAGGATAGGATAGGGGAGGGTAGGGGTTGAGACTCCGGTACCTAACCTCACTCACACGGCGAAACACAACGCTTTGGTTTTCTCTTCTTCTGACGCCGGTTTCTGTGAGGCCGTGGTATCACTCCGGTCGAGCCGACCCATTTGTGCCGAAGATTGGCGCTCCCAGACTTTTTGTATCCAATTTATCAAACTAATAAATAGTTAAAATAAAATCTGAGCCGAGAACGTCATCTATGACAGCAAACTACCTATTCGAGTTTAATAAGTTTTATCAATAACAATGCAATTAGGAGCGATATACATGTCCAGGGTTTTTTCACTTTTTTAAGTGATAATCTCGCTCGATTACTTGCTGATAAGCTAACAGCGCTGCTTAAGGGCACCCGAAACCCTGGAGGAGTTATGAGTACCTATGTTGCCGACCTTTAGGCGATCAAAGTTTCAGGGATATTTCACAGAAAACCGGCATGAACCGCAGCGTTGTGTTTCGCTGTGTACCTAATCACTTACACATTGGGCCTTTTCGGTACCGAAGGCCCAATCCCTTACATGCGCCATCCCTTTCCAATCTAAAAATATCCGAAACCTTTTGACCCTTAAAGGCCGGCAACGCGCTCGTAACTCCTTTGGTGTTTGTGGTGTGCATGAGCGGCGTTTGCATTGCTTACCAAATCAACGCCTAAACATAACATTTCGTTAACACAGATAATGAACACAAATTCGGTAGGTATTTTATCGTAGCTTGCCGCGCTCAAAGAGCCAACAGACGAGAAATAGATGGGGCCTCAGAATACAGAACAAACCAGAAGCCGTCAACGCGGTTCATACTAAAGCAACTCAAACCATTCTTAACTAGAGTAGTATGAAATTTCTACGATCAGTCAATTTTGGCACGTGGCATGTCGTGACGTATTTACGAGTATCAATTTTAATTTTATTTCGCCTTGCCTCGCCTCGCTTGTGTTATTCCTACGAGTAAAAATGCGGCTGGAACTACGAAAAAAGTGGATAAGATTAAATTTCATCTGCAAGCATCGACTGCAATAGTATATTTAATTAATTATTGAATATTTTTATATGAAAATGATGCGGCCATTTTGTGAGTGTTGTCATTTTTGGTGAAAATTTTACCCACTTATTTATGTGTTGTGAGTTATATTTTTGCCCATTATGGAACCTTTGTCGTATTAGATTCCCTGTCGACAAACAAAGAAAATGAAAATGAATAAAAATCATACAAAGAGCACGGTTAGATGAATTTGGAAATCATCTAGCCGGAGCATATGTAGTTTTACTCAATTCACTTTGAACAGCAATATATTTATGACAAAGGTGGTTTAAAAAGACTGAAAAAAAAAAACAGAAACTCCTACTAACTATACTAATTATAATGCTGAAGAGTTTGTTTGTTGGTTTGCTTGAACGCGCTAATCTGAGGAACTAAGAAAAGTAGGTAAACTTCTAATCAGTTCAGAGTCTAAAAGACAATACATGTTATAAAAAGATAAAACAGTAGAAGAGAACGCAATAAAACCTTTGTACTTATTGAAATTTTGTTTTATTTGTTGTGAATAGTAGGTGTAACTAAAATTAACACAGCTAGATATCGTCAACTTTTATGATACCTGCACGAAATGTGTACACCACTAGTCAAAGTAAATTTATCGTAAGATTACCAATTTTTTACCAATAAAATATATTTTGCCCTCCTTTTGTAAAATTACCCCAAACCAAGGGAATTGTTCCACTGTCGGCAACACTACGCGGGTGTGAAGTGTGGCTGGCGGGGGGACTGACGTATTGTTTTTGGACACATTAGACGACATGCAATTGTGAATGAACGCGGCTTCTGGTTTGTTCTGTATTCTGAGGATGGGGCCTAACTTACACAGCCGATTTTCAGCCGGCGGCGTTGCGGGGCAAACGCAATATGGTACCGGGGCCTCAGCCTATAACCGGAGAAGGAACTAGTAGTTTTTACTATGTTAGATTTTAAAATCTGATATGGCTCCTCAATCCTTACAGACATATTTTTAGTTTTACCTCTTAGACGAGAGGAAGTGTCAAACACCACTCCCTCTTAATTAAAACACAAAGTTAGACAAAAAACGTCATTTATTGAGATGACAAGCAAATTCATACAATCACACATACATGCACTCAACTTATACAATATTTTGTACATCAAACGGTAAAGCCCTCCGCTGTATAGGTACACTATTTCAATACAATCTGCGAATTTATAAATAAAAATCAAAAGCAAGGCCTCAAAATCCTCAAAAAAGCCTCAAAATCCTCAAAAAAGCCTCAAAACCTCAAAAAAGCCGCAATACCTTCAAATCGCGAAAGGGACTGACAGGGGCCAAATAATTATTGACGCGTTCTTAATTTAAATAGGTAACAGTTTTATATAAACTGCTCAGAATACAGAACAAACCAGAAGGCGTCATCGCGCTTTAAACTGAAGCAACTAAAACCACTCTTAACTACGGTTTGTTCTGTATTCTGAGATAAACTGTTACATTAAAATTAGAAAACTCAAATCGCTGACGTAGGTCTGCCGCATGTCAGATGAGCGATGGGCAAAATTTATTACTGAATTGAGCACACGCAACGCTAACAGACACCGAGGCAGGTTCAGGAGATGGCGGGATGAACTTGATATATTTGACGAGGATTGGCCGCAGAAAGCTTTGTGCAGTGAAGAGTGAAAAGGGTAGGGAGGCCGTTGCCCTGCAGTGGGACGATAACGACTGATAAAAATATAAAACTCTCATTTTTCAACAGTCAAATAAATGTTATCTGAAGAATAAAATTGTTGCTGTCACTGTCTTACACAAACATTGTGACGCGACAGCATTATAATTATTCCGCTGGTAACTTTTATCTAACAATTGAAAAATTTGTCGTAAGAAAACGTAAAAACGCAAAATTAACATGTTAGATGAAGTTCTATTACGAGTTTGATAAACAAAAAACTAAATTCAATTTGAAATATTCACAAATTGGTATAGTTTTTAGCTATCGATTTTTGATTTTGTCTTCACTTTCCATGGCTGTAGTCAAATTGCTTAGCAAGCCATTTACTTGTCAGCCGGGGTTGCGGGGTAAGCGCAATGAGGCACTGCGACCTCGGCCCAGAGCAGGAGAAGGAACGGGGGAGTTTTTAGTCAGTAAGAGTCTGACACTCCCTATCCACACACAAAAAAAGCCATTTCCTTATCAACCTGATAAATAATGACGTGGTACAAGGATATAAGCTGTTAACTTTTGATGAACAGTCGATTTTCATAAACTTTTAACCCTAATCTAATTTTGATAACAAATCAATTTTAACTATATTAAAGGTCTAAATAGCTAACGGCTGTCCAATCAAATGGCGTTAGTTGAATCAATATTTACTAATATTATAAAGAGGTAAAATTTAAAGTTTGTATGTAGGGGGTAATCTTTGGAACCGCTGGTCGTATTGCCAAAATTCTTTCATTGATAGATAGCTACAATGTTCCTGAGTGCTATAGTGTATAAATTACCTATACATTACTTTTGAACGCGTGCGAATCTAGGGCGGAAGCTAGTAACTTTTTAATTAAGCTACTAGCTACTGCCCGCCACTCCGTTCGCGTGGAATAGTGACTTCCTGCAGATTTTTGGTATAAAAACTATCCTATGTCCTTTCTCGAGTTCCAAACTATGTCTGTACCAAATATCACAGAAATCGGTTCAGTAGTTTAGGCGAGAAGAAAAGACAAACAGACAGAGTTACTTTCGCAATTATAATATTAGTAGGTATAGTATATATCGGTTAAAACAACTACACTTCATTAAACAGAAAATATCTTGCTTTCATTTCTTCAGTTAAAAAGATCAATTTTTACATTACAAAAGTTCCTTTTAAAATATAAATAAGGCATTCAGGCAATGTTTTTTGACTAGAATAATACACGTACAATTTATGATTATAATCAAGACTTGCTATTCATTAAAAATATCGAGTTACTCACGTGAATTTACCGAGAAACGCT